CGTACGCGTTTTATAAAGAAATTTACTCAAAATATTCAATTAAATTGTTTTTTATTTTTTATAGCACAATAAAACAAATATTTTATTGAAAAACTTTTAGTGTTTTGAAAACAACAAAATTTAATTTTGTTTTGCAATGTACACCTTTTCATAAAAAGAGTAATAAAAAAATTACCCAAACTTGAAATTTTTTTCCACACACTCTCAACAATTTTTGTAAACTTTAAACTGCTTACTTGCACTTGTCACCTTTAAAGTATGTTTAATACTTATTTGCATTCTGTTTGACATTTGAAATGAAACCTCCCATACCTTAAAATATAATACCAAACAAGAACGAGGACGGAAGCTAACTTCGGCAAGCCGAAGTTTTAATAACCTTGCAGATTGCAGACGAATCAAAATCTGACTAAAATAGCAACCGGAATTAAAATACAGTTTTCACTATATTGTTCCTATGGGAGCTATAGGATATAGACAGTGTTAAAACAGACGGACAGACGGACATGGCTATATCGACTCCCCTATTGATTCTGATCAAGAATATATTTACTTTATGGGGTCGGAAACGTCTCCTTCACTGCGTTACAAACTTCTGACCCTCTGCAAGGGTATAAAAAACATTATAGTTAAGTGCCGCGACTATAAGATTCCCGTTACTGTTTTACACAATTTAAATATATTCATTTTACTAGTGGAAATTCACAAAGCGACACCTATTGTCAGAAAGCGTATTGAGTAACTGATAGTCACGTTACTGATCATGTGGGGCCTTATAACCTACATTTTATCACCCACTCTAACGCCCACAAACCGCGAAAAACTGTGGTGTCCATAATATTATAATGTATGCCTTCGTTTGACCTTGTATAACATATTCTTGTCAATTTCTACTGATTTACCAAAGATTTTTCAAATCGGAACATTATTTCGCAATTTATGAAAAATATAGGTTATAAGGCCTCACATGGACAGCGTCATCACTATCAGTTACTTAACATGCTTTTTCTGACAATAGGTGGCGCTTTGTGAATTTCCACTACTAAAATAAATGTTTTAAAATTGCGTAAAACAGTAAAACACTCGACTATAGCGTTTCTTCTTAATATATTATATATAGATAGATAAATAGATAGAAGAAAATTTAACTATGGCACGTGAGCGGCTTAGCTTTGTTTCGGCCAGGCTCGGTATCAATGTCAAGTGCATTACACTTAACCTGATTCCGAGACAAGACTCTTAATTGTCAAGGAAGTTTTTGGGTTCGATTTCATTGGCACACATTCCAAACAGCAAAGCTACGAAATGTCGATAAGCCAGAGAAATGCATTTCACATATTCGGAATGAAACTCAATGGAAAAGTTTGAAAGAAAAAGAAGCAGCTGTATAAATTAAGAAAGACTCGTTCGAAGCTGCTGTCGAAGCTGGTCAGGTCTGGGCGTAGGGAAAAGTTCAAAAACCGGTAAATCGGACGAAAACAAAAATAATTATCATTGAAGCCGTTAATTGGATTTATCTCACAATGGTCGCGTGTAACTGTAAACGCACATAAATCGAGCCCCGAAGATACTTTTAGCATCCATCGGCCAGGAGTTTGCCGGGATGTTTGTTCAGTAGGCCAGTCGAAAATTGTTTTGTCTGGTTAAGACTCATTAGTCCGAAGCGCATAAAAATAGATTTCATGTTTCATGTTTCCTAATGTTCGTGCTATCAGCTCAATATGCAGACCCTCCCCGCATACCCTAATAGTATTTACACCCAATTAAGGCCAGTTTTCATCCGCCACCTCTGACTCTTGACCAGATCCATAAATCAGCATTTACTGATGAGAACACTGAGCCCAATCGGCTGGCAATAATCAGTCCTTGTTCAATTTCTTTAATTTATTAGCAATGCAGTAAATATTGACCCTCATTTAACTGTGCTTTCTTCTTTCTTCGCTTTAAGGATTCCCCAATGAAATATTTTCATTTTTCTGAGAAGCCTTTTTGGTGGCCGTTAATGTGGCTTTCGAATTTCGATGATCATTGCACAACACAAGTCGCCCTTGGTCCTCCCCCTCCGTATAAGAGTTATCTTTATATTTTGCTTACTTTATATAAAATGGGTAAAGTTGAGGAAAACCTACATATTTGATCATAAAAAGATCTTAAGTTAACAGCAATCGACTCACAAAACGCGGTTCCTTATACTATAAAATGTTCATGTATCTACAGTTTAAATGTCGCAATATTTTATATTTAAATTTATGGGACTACGGCTTTTAAGAAATATAAAGAATCGGCAAGTTTGATTAATTGACAAGTCGAAATCTAAAGAAAATTTTACCATGTATAAATGAATATTTATGCCCTTTTGTTTCAACGAAATCTGCCCGATTGCCACACGATTGTTAGAGCCGCACAGCTTTTCCTCTGGAAGGCGCTGACCAATCCGCTCGAGAGTGTTGCTCTGCAGTTCGGAATTTAGGTCAAAGAGATATTGGTATGGCCAGTGCATGGTACTGTGATTTTACGGAGGATGAAAAGCAGTGACGTCAATAAGCACCGATGCCTGGTAATCGTTTACACAGAATTCGGTCGTGACGAGGTCGGATCTTAATTTAATTCAAGTGAATTTTTTTTGGGAAATACCTGCACTCGGGCAGATGTTTTGTTTTTTGTTTGCTTATAATAATGTCTTGCTTGACATAACTTCCATTGAATGAGGCGAACTATTTGCCAAAGTGCTAAACGTTTTACCCGTAAATTCCCAATTGACTATTAACCAGCTACATAAATCGGTAATAATATGCTTTGATGTCACACTGGCCCCCCTGACTACCAATGATTCAACGGACGTAAACATCCCATCGAGATTATGTGAGGAGCATTCGCTTCCAGTCGGAAGCTCTTCTAGCTCATTGACCCGAAACGTGGAATTTTGCTTTTCGGATCTTGGGACATTTCATAATTTCGAATGCAAAACAAAATAAACAAGAACGTCTAGACCCGAGCCACCCACAAACACCGAAATCCATAAAGCCCATTTTTATTCGTTTCCAGCTCAGATCGTAAATCACTCGCGAAAAAAAAAACGAATTCAGAAAACTTGCGAAAATATAATATACTAATTTTTTTATTTGCTTGAGCTTTAAGCAATCATCTGGCGTAGTGATTGAAATGCAAAGCCCCAGCGCATGCAGGCTTAAATCGAAACTGAAATTTATAATGGAACAATTGGGATTTCGTTGATAGCTACTACTCGTTGAGAAAAGTCGCCTAATAGTCGACTGTTTGTTTGCCATGCTGTTTTATTGCTCGATCGTTTATTTATTTCCATTTAATTTGTTTCATCTTCCGATACGGAAGACGACACCTGACGCAACGAGGCTCAGCCCGCATCCGCTTTGCTCCTCTCTTGTTGTTTGTTGTTGGCTTCAAATTGTCGCAGCGAAATTGATCGGTTTATGAGTTTTTCGTTTTTGGCAAATTTCAATGTCAGTGGCACAAATTCGCTTTCTGCATTTTGGTTCGTCTTGTTTGATTAATTAAAACGTATCAAACGATGATCGCTGCGGCTGGTTGAAAATATTCTTAGGAAGGAGTCATTTGGTACATACTCGTGGAAGCGGCGTGTCAGGCTTTTTCATATTTTCCTACAAGCATGAAGACCTATTGAATACAGCGCTATTCTGCTGGCGTGTGTGTAGCATGTCAAATAATACCAATAGAAGGCAATTGCTTTAATTTGGGAGTAGCAACAAAAACAAAAGCGCCAGGGCAACGATCTCAGGGGAGGTCAAACGACTATATTTACTTGTCTCAGTCAAATAAGTTTCACTTTTCAGTTACAAGTTACAGAAATTAACGGTGAATTTGTTGATTTCAAAGGAATTCCAAAATTGCACAGGAAGCGAACATTCAATTATTTAGCAGGTCATTAATTGACAACCAGAGTACACGTAATTTATTCACAGGTAATGTGAAAATTTCAATCAGGTTAGGGAAGTCGAAGGAGACGTCGGAACCGAGATTTGTCGTTACGCTATTTTCTGTGTATTGTTTCTAAAGTAAGGACAATACTTGGGTACTTAAATATGGAAACACTTAACATGCATTGAACAATGAAATAAAGTAACATTACAATAAACTTTTCAGGCAAAGCATTAAAAATACCTTTTCTTGTTTATCTTATCTTTCCAGGTAAGTCCTGATATTTCCATATACAGACAGTTAGGATTCTTTTTGAAATGGGTAATATGAGCCATTGAGGCCAACACATGTGTTTATGTGTGCATGCTGATTTCTATTTACACAAGATGCCTCCAGAAGTACATTTAGTCGAGCTGAAGCCTGATGACAGGTGCTATCATTAAGTAGGTTTGCAGATCATGGCTGTAGGGAATTTCTTGACAGAATCCTGGGCGCTTACGTTAGTCTATATTCATTGAAGACAGGTGTCCAGTTCCAAACTAATTCCATACAGCTCCTGGAATACCTGTAACTATTTCCTGGTCTTAAAATTTCTTACCAATGACGTTTTAATGGCGTTCACAAGAACCCAAACGGAGACATTTAGAAACGCATAATTTGATTTCCAGTGCCGCGAGAACTGCGAGTTATTTTGGTTACGTGAACAAATTAATACAAGCTGACATTTTGTCAGTAACAGCGTCGAGATAATTGTTTTCAACTCGATTTGATCTTCGCAATCAACGCACTTTGTGACTAATTGTTGTCTTAATTGCTAAACTGTGCAGTTAATTTCGGAGCGATCGAAGAGCGAGCACTTGGGGCCAAAGAGCGATCCTACTCTTCGATCAGCTGTTGGACTTCTTAGCCAAGTTATAAGAGACTAAACTAAAAGGCGAATCGGCGAGCAAAAGAGCGCGAATGTCTCACCCATACCAGGGCAACGAGCTTGGCTCAAATGGCACACACATAAACCCCAAGACAGCGAATGCGAGTGTGTCGGTGCCTCAGCAAGCGGTTAAAACCTTTCTATAACCATTTCATAAACGTATCAGTTGTCTGCGAAGCGGTGTACAAAACGGACGTGTAAGCGGAAGCAGCATGAATTCGGTTCGGGAATCGGAATAGCGCCTGTACACGCAGCTCATAGGAAATCGAATCCGAATCAAATATCTTAATCGAATTCGGACTTAGCTCCCGGACCGCTGTTACAACTTGTTTCGTTCCCGGGCCGACGAATTATTCTCTATTCATTTACGCGAAATCACAAACAACCAACTACTCGCTGCGCGGTACAACGCATACGCGACCTGTTCGTGCTGGTGGCATACTTTTAACAGCCAGTGTTTCCTTTGTTCAAAAGTGTCTTGATAGAAGCCCCACTTTAATATGGATAAGTAGCAACGGAGCAACGTTAGCAGCAAAACTGGAAAGGTACAACCCCTGGCCATCTGCAAAATGCGGACTATTCCCAATGGGGATCGTGGATCCCACATCCAAATGAGATCGGAACAGAACTTTCTATTTTCTTTACTGCTTTGCGTGTGCTTCGCTGGTCAAGCAAACAAATTTTCTTACCTCGGCGGATACCCATGGAATTAGAAGTTCGTTTTCCGTCCGGAATACAAAATTGAGTTAATTTCGTAAGAGAATTCCTGAGAGTCTCGACACGTTTTTACTGGATCCGCGGGGTTACGCAATGCATGCCTGGTCACAAAGTCGTCCTCAAGTTTTTGCTAACTTTATCGTTTGCTATGTGCTAAAATGTTCAACTTGCTCAACGGCGAGTGATACATTAGTGTGAATACTGAATACGGGTGCGCAGAGTTCCGTGCACTTTATTTTTTTATACACAGACTGCGGTTCACACCGACGGTGATTTTGTTTTTCGAGCCACCATCCCAAGCCGAAGAAACCATATCAGTTTTGACTTACGTGACTTGGACAAACTGCACCATTTCGCACATATTCTGTGCGTTCAAGCTTAAGGCTTAAATTGGCGCTCAAGCTGTGAATTAGCGGGCTCTATGGCAACTTCTTTCAGAGTGCTGTGGTCGTGAATTTCCTGTGGCATGAGTCATGTCCGTCAGTCGGCTTCGCTAAACAACAGCAGTGGCAACACAAAAACGATAAAGATACAGATACATAATATTCAGTTGACAACACATGAAAATTGCTTTCAAAGGTATTGAGTGTGGAGCGCCAGATAAGCTAGAGAGAGGCGAAAAAGCTCATTGTTTGTAGGGGCTGGCTTTGTAGTCCGCTCATTGTGGTTGCCAATGCGAGCAGTAACCTCTGTTGGCGTTCCCCGATCGTTTTCGATTTTTTGCCATAAGTGCTGAAGCAACTTACGGCCAAACTGATCCACAAACCAATTGATGCGATCGCTCTTCTTGCTCAGCTGTTTCATGTTTTTTTTTTATTTCCACGAAGTTGATGGGAAGTTTCCAAAAAGAACTGCAGTTCTGCTTGATAATTTGTTTTCGGCTAAATCATCGAGACTTAATTTATTAAAATTAATTTAGTATTTGACCGAGTAGAGATCTCTCTTGCACTTTTGGCAAATTGTTAGGAATGCGTTGGTGCTTTCAGAAGGTTTGGAGAAGTTGGCTGGGGAATTGCAAATTACTAAACTGGAATAACAAAGGCTTTTTTTTAGTCGTCAGAATAAAGATGTTTAAAACATCCTTTAACATCTCAAACATTTTGCGGATTTGGGATCGAAGTGTGAATAAGGAGAGAGGAGATTTGGATTGAAATGATATGCCATGAAATGGCTGCTACTAAATTTAGGCAGTGGTTCCATTGTGCAATGACCTAAATCATGGGCACAAAATCAAAGCCAAACTCAATCATTGGCCATCAGCTTTTTTTTTGCTGGTTGACTGGTAGCTGCGGTCGTTGGCTATGTTTTTGGTGGCCAAAAAGCTTTCTGAATTACAATTCAGAAACAATCTGGCTTTGGGCTTAGCGAGCGGATAGTTTTTGCGAATTAGTTGGTTTGGTTTTTGGATCATCGGAGAAAGTACTGTCTAAAGCTTTTCTTTGGTCTGCAACGACTTCTCACTTCCACTCGCTCTTCGCATAAACGGACTTCCTATTAGCTTCACGGGTTTACAGTCACCGGTGCAATCGTTTCGAGTATCTTAGCAAGATACGAGTATGCTAGCCCATAAATGTTGCAGCAAACCATCAAATATTCCGATGGTACCAACCGAATGATTTTGTGTTTGATTTTCGAGGTTTGGTGTTTGCGGATTGGCGCACTAGAAGAAAACAACAAATAAAGCAGACAAACAGCAAGACAGAAACAACACTAAACCGGTTCAAATTGGGTCGTAGTACTTTTGAGTGCAATTGTTACCTTTTCAGTCAGGAACAACAACAGAAACTTCGCCAGTCGCACTCCATTCCACTCGCTCTGCAGCTCATTATACACGCTATTATGTTGGTCTTGTTCAGTTTTCCTGGCACGCGCTGCCATCGAAAAAAACCAACTCCCACACAAGCAAACGAAAACAAACCGAGCGATATTTTGTAATGACCATGTTTGGAATCGGTTAGCATAGGTCAGTCAGTGAGTCGGGTTTCAGTTAATTCATTTTCACTTTGGTAGGTAAGTCAGTTTAGTATAAAAAGTAATAAAATATGAATTATATCTTAATACATGATGTGAGAAAATGTTATGAGATCTGGGTAAATAGGCTTGTCTCTTACAGCCTTTCTTGATAGCATTTGCCCAGTTTTATATGTATATATACTGTTTGTTGATGCAGTGATACATTTTCAACTTATATGTGGAATACCGGCAGCAATGGAATTCATACAACTAGAGGTGTAATATGTACTTGGGTTCTAGGTACTCGGCAAGCTAGTTCTTGACGTCTAGCGCGTGACAAAAGTCAGCTGAAAGGAACACATTACCATTTCCATAGGAGCTTTCCTCCTTTCGAGCATCTGAGAGTAACCAAGACGGGTTCAACTGGTTTTGTCCGTCGTTGACGCCGTTGTTATTATGGTTATCGTTGGTGTTAACCATTAAAGCAGTTATTTTATTTAAATATTTTTTTAACTCTTGTTAATATCGAATATACACACGTCGAATGAATGTGAAGTTTATTTTGATTAAATGTCGACTTGCATTTTAAAACATTTGGTATTTAAACCAGTTACCCTCATAGAAGCGAAAGCTTAGTGAAAAAGATTACAAATTACCTGTATCACAATTTGTCATGTGTTTGTAAAATAGCCGAAATAGTAGTTTTTGTTGAAGAACCTCGCCTTGTAATGGGTATCTCATAGACGAATCGCTCGAAAAGAGCTTCTTCTTTGTTTACTTTGGTGTTTCCTATGACATTGACAATTGCTGATGTCTATAGTATTGTGACGAACTTCAATCCAGAGCAAACCGTATTGATTAATCTGGCGAAATCGATAAAAAAAAATATGTCTGCAGAATGTCCAGCTTAATGCTTCCTGTGCGATTTATCGTCTCCTTGGCCACTCCGTCTCAAGAGCCTTCTTTGTCGGCTCGGCAGCTAGCTGTTCCTTTGCTGTCGAGCGTAACTCTTAAGTCAGAGCCGCTGCCTTGAACTTAGATTCCATCTCGAGGCAGATATAAAATGTTGATTACGTGGTGCATATATGTATAAGAGCAGTTCAGTAGTCAGCTAAAAGACACCTTAAGCGTATGAGCTCGGAAAGCCAATCTTCAAGATTTTTTTGCTGATATGGATGGCAGGGGTCAATGAAAAAGTAGCCGCATGACATAATTAATGGCGATACATTCCATTGCCCTCTACCAACAGGCACTCTAATTTTTCGTGAGATGGTCATAGTGAATCATGCAGTTCCAAAAACTATCTGAGGTATCTTAACCATTCCTTCCACAATAGAGGCTATTGCAAAATATCACGAATCATTACACTTACAAACTCAATGAAGGCGAAATGGTGGTTCTATTTCAAATATGATTATCACGTTCGGTTCTTGCATATTTCTCTCAAACGTTCCTCGAATTTCGAGTATTAGGTCCTACTCATTCCATCACATTTAAATCGCATAAAGCATTTATAACGGCTTCAATGTGTTCCATGCACACGCTGCAAACGGCTTATATTTATTCAAGAAATTGTGCATGCCCACCGAAGCTCTCAAAATAAATTTCAAGGCTACGTTGAGCAGAATAGAAAAACCGTATAATTTTTGAAATCGCTGCCGCAATTTACATAAATATTTTAGGCCACGCACTTTTATTCGCTGTAAATCTTGAGTAAATAAGGGTCGGAATCGAATTCCTCAGCAACGATCTTTCAGCTGTAGCAACCAGCGAAGCATACAAACAGTAAAGAAATCCACAAGAAGGCATTCCCAATATTTCCTAACTTTTTCAGAACTAAATACACTTACCTAACCTAAAAGCGATCATGACGGCCATGCCAGTGGTCTGGTGCACCGATCCCAACTCGGCGAACAACAAACCTACAGCCTTCGCGTTGCACGGAATTCAACTACAGGGAAATGTAACCGAGAAGCAGGTCCACGCTCTTCGTGAGTTGGTAAGCGCCGCCGCGGAGGGCCGTCTCATTCTGCCTTCGGATGGCACCTTCACACTGCTGGACAGCGGTCTAAGCATCGAGAGTTCGATCTTAGAACAAGAGTCAAGCAAAACTATCAGCTCTGGTGAGCCTGGGCCAGTAGCTTATCCGAAGAGTTCCAAAAACACGTACATACTTATGCCCGTAAGCTTGGCGGAGGGTACCAGGCAAGGAGCAGAAGCATTGACCGGAAGGGGAGGATCTTCAGGACAAGCGATTGCAGCCGCCGCCGCCCAACTGGAGTTCTTGCTGGAACCCAAGTATTCGCCCACGCCCAAATCAAATCCAGACTGGAAAGGCAATGCAGGTGTGGCTGAGGGCGATTTGACAGGGGAGGTTCTGTATGAGTTCCTATGCTGTGCCAAGTGCATGAATGACCAGCGGACCGGACTCACTTGCGCGAGTCGTCGTCTGCAGCGCTATTTGAGGACATGCAGCAGTGGAACTGGCAATGCCAGTGGCAAAAGTTGTCAGTACGAGCCGGTCAATGACCCACCTACGTGTCAACTGCAACTAGATCCTGTCAGTAGCTTGGCCAGTAAGTACGCTCGCCGGCAACAGAGGCACAGGCAGCACGGCACCGTCTCCATGGGCATCGCACGCAATCGCACCCATCGGCATCAGAAATTACCTATGCACAGCGTTAAAATATTTCAAAATCGGAGCACTTACATGCCAGCGGACACAGTTACAGGAGCAGCTTTCCTTGTGGCCGAAGGCCGAGAGGCGTCAACAATTGCATTGCCGATTCAAAGTCCGATTCCGAGTCCGAGCTCGAATTCGAATCCGAGTTCCACGCCCAGCCCAGCGATTAGAGCGATCGTCGGCAGTGAAGCGTTTAGTTTGTCACCAACAGCGACGCGATCTACATCGCTAACAGAAACTTCGACGACACTGGCCAATCCGGGCGCAACTTTTCTGCCTATATACGCTGTTGTAAATAAAAATCGCGACTTTGTGAATAGTGAAAAGACTGAGGAGGTGTCCACAACAACCATGCTGGCCGTGGTGCCCGAGGAGCCATCGCTATATCCTGCAGACGGAGGCGATCTGATCAGCTTTGACGACGCTCAAGCGCAAGTGGGTATTGAGGCGGCTGATGTAGGCCAGCAGGCTGGAACTGCTGTGGACCTGCTTTGCGCCCCAATTAAGGAGGACACCTTGTTAGCCCTGCTGGAGGGTCCTACAGCCACTCCCTTCAAGCCCTACTCGCATGAAAGCAACAACTCGAGCCGCAAGACCAGCTTTGATTCCACCAGCACCCTCAGCTCCTTGGACTCTGGCTTCATGGAGATGCAGAACAAATTGGACGCCCTGGCAACAGCGGCAGTAGCGGCTGCAGCAGCAGCAGCGTCTTCGACCGAAGCAGCAACATCGTCGCCAAGCGGCGAGAAAATCGAACGTCGCAACTATAACGAATGCCTGACGCAGTCGCGCAACCGCCGAAAATCTTACGAGGAGTTCAAAGCTATGTTTGTTGAACCCATCACGGAAGCAACTATTAGTGCTTCCCTGCCACCGCCGGTGGCACCAACAGAGAATTACGCAACAGCAGCCAGCAACACTGAGATCACACTTTCCTCCATTTCAGAACAAGAAACCAGAGGCAACCGGGATGAGAGAGGCAAACCGGATTGTGCAAACGAGTTTACCGCCGATGAAATGGATACCGGCGACGGTGACATCGATGGTGAAAAAGGCGCTGCTGCTAAAGGCGATCTCACAGCAACAGCAACAACAACCGTAGCAGCAAAAAGCTCAGTTAGCAGCTCCACCACAGAGGCGATGCGAAAGAATTCGGATTTTCTATCGCGGATTCTCGATCATCAATTTGCGGCGAAGGAGCGAGCCAAGGCGCACAAGCGTCGCACATCGTACGAGGAATTTAAACGTCTAGTTAACGAAATTGAGCCGCTGGAATGCCCGGACACCGCGCCACTAGTCTCCGCTGTGGTCACACCCACAACCGCAGCAGCGGTAGCAACATCGCCATTAAACCGGCAGAACTCGCGACAGCGTAAAAGCTTTGCTAGTTACTTTCTGCCGCGCCGGCACTCAACCAAAGAACGAAAGACTGACAAGCAGAACTGTGCCCTGGATTTGAATGTGCCACCGCACGGCAATCAGCTGATGGCTTACAGCAAGATGCCGCCCAACCGGAGCAACGACAGCGACCTACATGGATCCCACTACAGGCACAATTTCAAGATCTACGATAAATTAGTTTACGGCACTATCTATGATATCATTCAGCGCAAAAACGACATATACCAGAAGTATGACAAGTACATGACCTACGGCACCATCTATGAGATCCTGCATCGCAAGACTTCGCAGGACGGCGACCGGTGGCAGCGCAAAAGTCTCAGCTCGATCCTGGAAGGTGGACGATCCACAGACGTTATCTACGACATCGTCCAGAGGAGAGAACGGGAAAAGCAGCGTCAGCAGCGTACCCTGGAATCCTTAAGTCCCGGCTTATTACCTGCGATCAGTTCCCACAAATATGGAACGATCTACGATATTCTCCAGGGCGAAAAGATAGATGCGAGCCATGTCCACATTAAGACCGACCAACAACCAGCAATGGCTAAGCCAACGCGCTTTGTGGTCAGCCAGGTGGAGGAATCCGTCCATTCTCCACTGGCATATCAGCAAGACCCGATTGGGCCGGACCGTGGGGTAACAAAGACCAGTAAACCAAACAAAATGCGCCGCCTGTCCCACATCCTTAGCTACAGTCGAAACGTTGTCGAGGATCCGCAGGATACGGCTGGCAAGGAGGAGACAAAGCAGAAACGGACTCAAGCCAAGCGAAGAATCGGTGTCACCAACTTGCTGCTTCCTCTGGACTCTGAGGAGCTCTACACCCGCATCATCGCGCAGCAGCGAAGGTTCGAGAAGGAGCCTGGACAGGACGCAGAGGCAGAGAGTGGTAGCGAGCCAGAGCTGGGCCCTCGCAACCCTTTGACCAAGTCTAGCTCGCTTGATGCCATCTCACTGTCGGTGGCCATTTCACCTGCGTCCTCGCCGTCACCCCCGCGACCGCGACGCAGTCTCAAGCAACACCGCTGCCTCCAAGAGCGACAGCAAATGCCACTGGTTAAAAAGCACTCTCTGGATAACTGCCTCCAGATTAATTCAGCAACTTCCAGTCGGCAGTCGCTTTGTCGCTGTTCAAATCAGCCTCCCTTGAAGTGCGCCTGTCACCACGTTGCCGAGGAACTTTCGCTAACAGCTAATGAGAAATCCCGCTCGCTACCAACTCCCTTCTCCGCTACTTGCTCTCAAACGTGTGCAAACTCAAGTTCAATTGATCACAATCCGGCAGCAACAACGTCCTTCGGAAAAACATCGACTACTTCAGCCAAGAAAGGCAAATCACGTCGACTTTCAGAATTTACGCGCGGTGAATTTTTAAATGAAAAATCGTAAGTTTAGCCCCCAAGTCATTCATTAATCAGCCCTTCCTATTTTGCATTCTATTAATTAAGTTTTTATAACAGCGTCTGATCGAAGGCTCAATTTTTCGAATTTAATCCTCATATTTCTTGTTGTTGTTAATTTTAATGTTCAATGTTGAAAGTTTGAGCAATAGAAACTGAGAGAGGCAGGAAAAGGGGATTTTCGGATCAATTATATTTCAAACATGCTTATCACCTGATAAGTTTATTTGCAAAAGCTGTTCAGAATTGATTCAATTTCCTTAGTCTGCTTTGCCCAAGCAAAATTTTCCACTGCAACAGAAATTGGTTAAGCAAGCGGAACTTCAAGGCCAAAACGCTTGAAATTAGTTCAGCGTTTGGAATTTGCATATCAAGGCGAGCAGAAAAAATGTCTGAATAAACTTCAACAAACGTGCTGCGCGGGCAATTCGAAGAGGGCGAACTGAAGCACTCAGAGAGGCCAAAAGGAAAAGAAAAAGACACCTCTCCTTGCCCATCTTCCGATCCCAGCTCCACTGCCCAAGTGCCACTTGTCCACGAGCAGACATTTAAAAATGAGTTGAACAATGTTTGTTTATCGTTTAATTAAGTAAAAAACAAAAAGTGTCACGACTTTCATCGCTGAATGAACTTCTTCACTAGACAGTAAATGAACGGTAAATGCGCCTAACCCCCTCAAAAATGTCGACTTCATTCGAGAGTCAAATATAGCAGGTTAATAACGTTAGCGTTAACGTTGGGACGTGATCGAACGTCTCTCTCACTCGCACCCACAATCACACATGCGGTTACAACACTCAAACAAAAAGTCCCATACAGAGGACACAAATTGACGGCGAACGGTGGGACAAGGAGAGACAAATATATGTATTTGTCCATTTAGCCGTAAACATTCCCCTGCCCCAAGCCCGGTGTTCTAACTTATCCGAGCTACCCGTTTTGGATGAACCTAACTGTTCGACAGTGACATTATCTCGCACTTGTTTTGGTTTTGGCCAAGTGCCTTGCTTTTGCCTATAGCCTATGCATTACTCACCTTTGTTGTTGATTGGTTTTCCCTAGAACAAATCCGAACTGGCAAACTGCTGGCAACCAAACTTAATTTCAAAGTTAGTATCTTGGAACAGTTGCGGAATTCCAGAATAAATGAGTGAATGTTTTCTAAATAAATGAAATCGCATTTGATTAAATGTGAAGTATACTCTTCTCTAGACTGATTAATCATAAAAGTCGTTTGATTCAAAAGGAAAGAGCATGCGACTGAGATCCCATGCTGCTAGCCTCTACTATAAAATATCGATTTGGAATATATTTTTATACATTTTTGGTTTCGTGCAATAAGAATTTATTTACGTAACGATCAGAACAGTTTGTGTGCCATTTGTTGGTTGCACAACCAACTGAGCAGCACACTCTCACCGCTCCCACTAATGTCAGTAATTTCAGCGACATTGACACTAATCTGCTTTAGTACTGCTCGAACTACGAGTTATCAATTGTCTTGTTCTGGGAACAAAAATTAAACAAGGGGGAACGAGAGGGGGTCGAGTGCAGCGAACATGTGAGACCTTATAACCTAAATTTCTGCATGGATAGCGAAATAATATTCCAATTTAAAAAATCTTTGTTAAAGCGATAGATATTGACAAAAATATGTTATAGAATGTCAAACGAAGACATACACTATAATATTATGGACGCCACAGTTTTTAGAGGTTTGTGGGCGTTAGAGTGGGCGTGGCTTGATCGGAAAAAACAATTCGTATTTGGGGCATTATAAAAACCTACACGTTTAATCCAAACTCTTCTATCACTTATAGCTTTTCTAGAAATTGCGAATACCGTCATTTGAGCTTGGTGGGCGTAGGAATGGGTGTGGTACCACCATAAGATGCGCTGCCAGCTAAAGATACATACACAATTTCAACTTTCTATCTCTAACAGTTCCTGAGATTTCAGCGATTTTAGTTTTTCGTGATTTGTGGTCGTTAGAGTGGGCGTGGCAGGATGCTAAGATAAACGGACAGGCGGACATGGCTTAATTGACTTCTCTATTGATCCTGATCAAGAATATATGTACTTTATAGGGTCGGAAACGCTTCCTTCTATCTGTTACATACTTTTCAACAACCTTTTACTCTACGAGTAACGGGTATAAAAACCATTAAGCCAGTGCAACGGAGAAGTTGGTTGGCGTGGTGAAACGCAATTTAGTTTCGTTGACAAAGTTCCAGTATACCGACAACTAGCGCGCCTAAACACTGTGATTAAAGCGGGATCTGACTGACCTATATCCATAACATCAGAAAATGGCCTGGGTGCGGTTGTGGGCTTTGTGATCATCTCCGCTTAGTGTTCACTTTGTTCGTTCTAAAGTCGATCATTTCCTGTTCACGTCATTCCGTGTCTTGCTGGTCTTGGTCATTCCGATATCAAATATTATCAAATGGCGACAAGTTGATGTTCCATATACGCAAAGAATGCCTGGGCAATTAGTTTTTCTGAGTTCTCTGAAGCGGATTGCAGCTTTGTACCGTCGCAAAAATAGCAAACGTAACGCCTATGTGCCGTATTCCGATTGTTTCTGCTTTTACACACGATATTCATAAAAAATACTCGAACGAGAATTCAAATCGTTTCAGGCTGTTCGATAATGAAAATGTTTTCAATAAATTTTCCGCGACAAAACTTAAGAATTTGATAAACCCTTCGACAATTGCATTTGCGTTATAGAGAATTTATGAACGATAACCAAAAGCGAATTTCTAAGAAAGTGACCACAGAAAACGTAGCCGGAATTAGATAATTTGCTAGTCTTCCATTATAACTTTAAAAGGAAGTGCAAAGGCAGACACCGCTTAAACGATTCTGGAAAAACATTCGTTATAACCTGACCAACAGTCCAGACTAATCAAAGCCATGCCTGGCCATATTTATTTTTAGATGCCCCTAACTGGTTGCGCTTCCAGCTGGTCCTCGCCTGCATTGAATTGGATTTCGTGCAGCAAGTGTTTCTAGGTATTGTAAGCTGTGAGCTGCGCACTCCGTCTTAGGCATCCTGTCCAACCCGCAGTCGGGCTAAATTAAATGAGTCCCAGTGCAGGAGCTCGCATTTCACAGACAAGAAGAAAACCTGCATTTGACCAGGCACATTGTTATTTTTCGATCAATCCATCTATGCATAGTGGTGTGTGCCTATTTAACCATCAAGTCCCGATTGGCCCCACCGCCAGCTATGAAATTGCATTGGAAATTAACTGCGATTGGCGCCATCCAACAATTCTGCGTGGCTCCACAATCGCTTTAACTTAATTTGGCTTGGCTTGGTTTGGTTTTAAAAATAGACACACGCTCCGCCTGCCATTTATGGTCCACAACTGTTAATTGCCGAATCCATCACTCAGGCTTGAGATGACCAACTACAATGGTTGCATACGCAGCTCATAAGCCGGAAATGATTTGAGTTTTAACCAACACATTTACACTTCAATACATATTAGAAGTTCCAGAAAACTGGAGAAAAAATTTCATACTCCATTTGCGTACATAGATAAGCTTTCCCAATCCCTTATTTATTATTCGACTTAAAACTTGCTTAATTAAATAAATTATTAATATGTTTCCCTAACCCGCTGATTGACCGCTGTCAAACACGGCAAACGAAATCAGCATCTTTGGTGTTGTTTGTAATCTAGCATGTTAGTAATCGTAGGGGGTTGCTTAGTGCTATTTTATACTTACAAATGGGCACAGGTATTAGGCTTTTCATCCCAAACAAGTTTCCATTCCGCTAACGAAATGCAGCTCATCATCACTTTTTATATAGGAATGTCTACTTCTTCATAAAATTGAGAAGTTCAATGTATACAGATTTCTCCAAGACGTAAACCGGAAGGTAGTTCTAAAGATATCTGCCAGACGAGGCTCAACTGTATTATATATTGGCTTACATTTAAATATATGAAAATAAATATGTGAGACGCTCAGTGGATAGTGGATCTTTGTGACCAAAAGCCAATTACAGAGAAAGTCATAGTGCAGTAGTCAGCCGGACTGCAAGTCTGCATGTCAAGTCCATTTTTGCGGATCCACCAATCAAAATGGTACTCCAATTAATAAGATAATTCCAAGAGAGAGGGGACGGAGGTTTCGATGGGGATTTTCGGCATGTAGGAATTCATTAGAAATATCTAATGGGTAATAATAAACATTTAAATGATTATTCGAAGACCATTCGGGGAAACAGCTTAAACAACAAATTCACAAATGTAATTCTCAAGTTCCTCAAGCTGGGAAGTTCACACCAGCTCTTACTCATACTCGTGACGTTTCGACTTGCAAACCGAACCAACTTGTTTCAAAGGTGTCCGCAACAGATTGCGCAAACAATGTGGATGGATTCCGTCATGACCTGCTTAAATAAGTTAATAATAGTAATGGCATTTCCAGGAATTGAGGAATGGAAGGAATTGATACTGACCACAAACGATTGACAGCCGTCGGACCAATTCGTGGCTCGAATCCATTCGAACTGCAAAAGTTGATCGAGTCTGGTTCAATTGTCTCCAGTGTATGGAAACGAGTAAACGGGTATATTTGATTCGTTGAAAAGTAAGTGACAGGTAGAAGGAAGGTTTGCGTCTCTAAAAAGTATCTATATTCTTGATCAGTCGATTAAGCCATGTCCGTCTGTCCGTATGAACTCTGAGAGCTCAGGAACTATACGAGGTACAAAATTGAGAAGACGCCACGAATTCTCATTATTTTTACACCATCTACAATTTCTATTAGCAAAATGAACACGTTAAAATTACATAAAACAGTAACGGGTATCTTATAGTCGCGGCACTCGTCTATAGAGTTTCTTCTTGATTTAACTCAAAACATGCTACAGGATGCCTGGAAGCCGAAGTGCACTTAAATTACCAACTAGAACCAACCAAACTTGTTGGGACAAAGATCGAAAAGTATCTTACCGTTGCTGTTCCAATGCCATGGCATTAAAAGGTTTAAAGCCATGTTGGGGCGTAGAAAAATTGTAGAAAAACACAAAAATCTTGCAAGCTCCGAGTGCTGTTGCAAATATTTTTAGACAAAATCGAAATGCGCAAAGCCGTGTTTAAAAATAGCTCCTAGTCGCTGACAATTTGTTGTAAGACGAGCCAGCAACCGTAGCTCTATCTTGTGGCAGCTGCGTACAGACTGGCTTCGAAAATTTATTTTGGTTTTTGGCGTGCTAAGCCAAGTTTAGATTGGTTGTTGCGGTTGTTTGATAATATAAATTCAACCAAGTTATACATAAAAATCCGACTAAGATTTTCTTAACTTTACTTAAATAAATTTTTAACTAAAATTGTGAATACGTTATAAAAGTGTGAGTTTTTTAAAAACAACCTAAAACAAACCTATTTTTTATAAGAGCAGCCACTATTCGTGGTAGAAAATGATCGATCGAGGAGTATCATATGTATTTTGTTTGCGCTTTTCATCCGGCTGGATTGACTAGCCACCGGCATTAGCCGCTCCTAACAGCTCCGACAGGATGTCCATACCCGTCGTCGACTTGTCTTGTGTGTAATTAAATCGTGTTGCATATTTATGAAAGTCATGCATGCACATAAATGGTCGGAGCACACCAGACTAACTCGACCAAGTCAGGAGAGTGTCTATAAATACGCCTGAATGGCTCTTCGCTCGCCAGCAGCCTTTACGGGAAGCAGTCAAACAGGCCAAACCCCTCACAATTAATGGCGTCTAATAAACGCTTATTGGCGTAATAGACACGTGCTGGCGAGGATTCATCCAGCCGCGCGCTCGTGATCAAACCTCGCCAATCAATCAAGCCGTATGCAAACACGCCTTCCATTCATGAGCATGTTTAGCCAAGGTACCATCATGTTGACTGCCACTTTGGACGATGCTAATTGTGGCGGTGGAAGTCAAGTGATTTATAAAAATCCTGCTCAAATAGACATCAAATTAAAACTCTTCGGACTAGTGCGGACTTTGGCTGCTAGAGGTTTTTTCTGTTAATAATACCTTTAAATGTCTTTGCGCCATCAGAATTATTAACTCTGCGACTCGACTAACTCGCAGACCAAAGGCCTAAAGGCCCGAAAGCAACCGAATCAATCCAACGATTGTTTTTTTTTTTGTTCTAACTTTGGTTCGGATTTTGACGTAAAGAGATTATTATGTCCCCTCTCGCGAAGTTAGCTTTTACTTTACAACACTTACAGCAACACTCTCGCTTAGATCTCCACCTTGTGTAGCCATTGAACAGGAGAATTCCCCTTTAAATGTTCCTATATATTCTGTCCTGTTTCCTTGAGGAGCAACTAAGCTATACAAAAGTTTAACCATCACGACTTCATAATTTCTTGTCACAGTGTGTTGCGCAGATTTGGCCACGCTTCTGTCATCATCCGTTATCTGACGTTCGTCGCGAACTTCAAAATGTGAATTGGACTGTTATGTAAGAGATCTGTCACACACATCTCTTAATTTCCCACTTCCAGCTGTCGCGGCGACGAAAAGAAAGACAAATACATAGATGAAGAGATAATGCCGAAACCACGTCCAGTTACTTTTCTTTATTAAGGTCAATGTTAATGCTGCATCAAATGGTATTGTTTCGACTGTTTACGTCGGCCCATGCGATATCTACAGAGAAATGTATCTAGTCGAATGTATCGCAAGTTTTGTTAGCCATTGAATTGGCAGAAGCTCTAATAAACGTTTCATTTCCTTTCTTTAAAACTCACGCTTACCCCAATGAATATGCATAGCAGACACCTTGAATTTCCTTAATTGCTAAATTTGGATTAGGAAGTGCAGCATTACAGCTTAAATTGAATGGTCATTAAATTATAGCTTTTAGAACGGAGGCACAAAAACGTCATTTAATTATCGCTTTAAAATGGCAGCGGGTATCAGATGATACAAATATGACTAATAGATGGAGAGTATCTATAGGCCTCCCACGTGACCCCTAGTCCCTCCCTCTGTGCGAGATAGACTGGCATAGAGCGGTGTAACCTCGATAGAGCAGTTTCCTTAATAAAGTCAGCCGATTTATGACATAAACGAGGAACTTTTTTTAAATAAAACATACTTTTCACTTCCATACTAATAATTTCCTTCTCGCCGGTCGCTTTTATTTCAGCTGGTACTTCCGCAAAATCAAACGTATTGAGGCTGAGAAAAAACTCCTACTGCCAGAGAACGAGCACGGTGCATTTTTAATTCGAGATTCCGAGAGCCGTCACAACGACTATTCGTTATCAGGTGCGTGCCAAATCAGGCATTTAATTAGCATTATTGTGCATTTTATTACGAGGTATTAATGTGGTGGTGTTCAAATGTTGTTTGCAGTGCGCGATGGCGATACGGTTAAGCACTATCGCATCAGACAATTGGACGAGGGCGGTTTCTTCATCGCCAGACGTACGACTTTCAGGTAAGTACCCAGCAGCCGTTGGTCGGGGTATCTAGATACCCCATGACTTTGTCACACTGACATATTTTCAATCGAAACAGAACCCTCCAGGAACTGGTAGAACACTACTCCAAGGACTCGGATGGCCTGTGCGTCAACCTCTGCAAACCGTGTGTCCAGGTAAGTCGAGAAGCGAATGGGGCCACAGTAGCCATTGTTTGCTTTGGTTTAATCGCGCATTATACATACGGCCTGCCGCCAAACGTTTGGATGCGTGGGATGATAACATTTGCATTTTACATTGTTATGCCCTGGTTTGTTCATTGCAAAATGCCCAACACGTGTATACTAAAAAACTGTTTTATATTTTCCTTGTATTTCTTTCATGTTTCTTTAATTAACACGAAATTATGTCTGTAAAATACTAACAATATAATACGAACTAAACCATCTTGAATATTATCAAAATCAAAAGACCAATTCTTTTTCGGGTATCCTTGAGGTAGGATTTCTGTCTAAGGCGTTATGATGTGCGTGTGTTTATTTCCCATTAACACAACAGTACCAAAAACCAAAGTCCATTCTGTCACCGAAATCAACACCCTCACAAAGAAACAAATTGACCGATCATATTCCATTAATGTAAATCGAATTAACGCCGATTTCAGGCGGAAAAAATAAATATACATACGCAGTCAGCGTTCAAATTTCAGATGAGACGATACCTGGCACGTGACATTCTTCCATGTCATAAAGTTATAAACTAATAATAAGTGTCTAATTAATGCCAAAACGCACTGAAAGGAAACAGACACTTGTGTTCGTCCCAGCTACTTGGCAGTGTGCTCTTTACATCGGTATAAACTGGTTGAAACTGATCTTTTGCACTCTGACTGTTTTGCATTGATCCCCGAATTAAGACCCTCTAATTTACTCAAATCTGTCCCAACTAATGCAATAGATACTTGCAATTTGTAAATAAGGCCTTAATGTACGCTACAAACTCATTACTCAATTGGCACAATCATTTCTCCAAGCTAAACACTGCTGCTCCTGAAAATGTTCAATAAAAATCATTTGCTAATCGATTTCTTATCCACCATAACCATCGCGTCACAGATTGAGAAGCCTGTCACCGAAGGTCTTTCGCATCGCACTCGCGATCAGTGGGAGATCGATAGAACATCCCTTAAATTCGTGCGCAAACTAGGCTCTGGGCAATTCGGCGATGTGTGGGAGGGACTTTGGAACAACACGACCCCTGTCGCCATTAAAACCCTAAAATCTGGTATGTCGGCATCCGAACTGTTGCTTGCACAATGATGTCAATGTTTTCTTTTGCTCTCAGGTACAATGGATCCCAAGGACTTCTTAGCTGAAGCCCAGATCATGAAGAAACTGCGCCACACCAAACTGATTCAGTTATATGCGGTGTGCACTGTTGAGGAGCCCATTTACATAATCACAGAGTTAATGAAGCACGGTTCTCTTCTGGAATACCTCCAAGGTATGCGAGAAAAAAAGTGGCTGAGACTCATCCTAAAACCATTAACCAAAATATATGTAAACCCTTGGTACACCTCCTTTCACGCCACGCAAAGCCAACCACCCAACCGATCGCTTATCATGTCATGGCCAATGCTTATTTTTGTTTTTAATATCTTTTAGCCATTGCAGGCAAGGGTCGTAGCCTCAAAATGCAAACTCTGATTGATATGGCGGCACAAATAGCTGCTGGCATGGCCTACCTGGAGTCGCAAAATTACATCCACAGAGATTTGGCGGCGCGAAATGTGCTTGTTGGCGACGGCAATATCGTAAAGATAGCTGACTTTGGCTTGGCCAGGTAATTCCAAGGCTTAAGGGCATTAATATAAACCCTAATAATAATATATAAATTCGATATGCAGGCTTATAAAGGAGGACGAGTACGAGGCCCGAGTTGGAGCACGATTCCCCATTAAATGGACTGCTCCAGAGGCTGCGAACTACAGCAAATTTTCAATCAAATCAGATGTCTGGAGCTTCGGTATCCTACTTACAGAGCTGGTTACATATGGTCGCATACCATATCCAGGTGAGACATACGACATCAGCAGTAATCGGTCTGTCTAATCAACGAACTTAATTTTTTCATTAGGCATGACCAACGCAGAGGTGCTTACACAAGTGGAGCACGGCTACCGCATGCCGCAACCGCCCAACTGCGAGCCGCGTCTGTACGAGATTATGCTAGAGTGTTGGCACAAGGACCCAATGCGCAGACCCACTTTTGAGACGCTGCAGTGGAAGCTGGAAGACTTCTATACATCCGATCAGAGTGACTACAAGGAGGCGCAAGCTTACTGATAAATGCTTCACAGAGTCACGGGCGCGGCCAGCAACCGTGACGTGAGTCAAGACAGCGGCAAATAATCACCGGACATCCCAAAATGAACAATTCATAAAAAGTTACTTACTTCAGTTTTGCGTAGATTTTCTACTGCTGCACATCTTTGATCGTCTTGGATGTGCCTGTCTAGGTAGCCGCATACGGTACGATTCAAGTTATTAGCGTTTAAGCTAAAGTATAGTTTCTAAGGTGGAATGCAATTTCAAAGGACGTTCCATTCTGACATTCGTTTTTGTTGTTTATTATGACAAACATAATGGTCGGATTGGTACATTTTGACATCCATGTCGTATTTTTCGATGAATATATCACATGTATTATTATTCATATAACGCATATAGCATATAAATACGCGCGTACACACTTATATATATGTACACTTATATAAAGATGTATATCTATGTTATAGTCAGATGTATGCTGAGATCCCTCAATTTTTCACATATGCAAGCAATTACTTCCCTACCCTATTTTTCTTTAGTTATAGGACAATCTGAGAACGATACTTGCAGCATACAAATATAAACGGATGTTTCGCTTTCAGTAAATTTCTTATATACGTGTCTCACCCCTACTCTCAATCAACATGATTAACGACATTTTTGCTTTATCACAAAAAAAGAAAAAAACACACAAACGCCAATCATCAAGTGCTAGCTGTGCGCTACTTTCCGGTTTGCGACAGCTAAAATCCATATAATTAATTTTTTAGAACCTAATTGTACTTTGTAACCATTAAATAATATTCAGCTTATGAAAAACACATATACATATACGAAAATATGTACATTTACAACCAAGAAAATAAATTTCTTCATAATTTATAAATATAAAGTCAAATCAGAATTCATGAAATCAACTCGGAAATCAGTTCTCTACATTGCAGGGGATGTTTAGAATGGTGAGCGAGAAATGCTATGATATTTTTATTTATTTATAAAGTTCGCCCGTAATTTAAATTACACGAAAATTCTAAGACAATTAGCTATAGCGACTACAGGTTTTAAGCTAAAATGCTACGATATATTTTATCCTTTTGCATGCTTAAAACAAGAAGAAACGCTATAGTCAAGTGCCGCAACTATAAGATACCCGTTACTGTTTTACACAATTTTTAAATATTCATTTTGTTACTGGAAATTCACAAAGCGCCACCTATTATCAGAGAAAGCATCTTGAGTAAATGATGATTACGTCACTGCCCATGTGAGGCCTTATAACCTACATTTCTTGATAAATATCGAAATAAATAAATTTTCATAAATTCGGATTTGAAAACTATTTGGTAAATCAATAGGTATTGACAAAAATATATTATGCAATATCAAACGAAGACTATAATATTATGGGCAATACAGGTTTTCACGGTTTGTGGGCGTCACAGTGAGCGTGGATGAAAACTGATGGAAAGTTGCATTGGCATCTCGTATAAATACGTATTCTTAAGTAAATCTTCCTAGCTCTAATAGTTCCCATTTTTGCATTTTTGGTTTTCCAGGTTTTGTGGGCGTTAGGGTGAGCGTGGCTGATGGGAAAAAAAAATTCGCATTGGGGGCATCATAAAAACCTACACGCCTAATCCGAACTTTCTATTCTACAAAATGAGAAAACCGTATTTCGAGCTTTCGTAAGATTGGGTGTGGCCAAATAATACTAATTTACTCTTCGATTAACGGATAATAATATATCTTGAAGATATAATAAATAAAGATAATTTCTCAAAAAACAAATCGGTTCAAATGTTTAGAAAAATAATTTCTACTAAGTACATAATATTTTAAAGAGAGAATTTGAAAAGAATATACATTCAGTCAATATGAGATTACTATGATAATAATTTTAGTTTTTTTAACTACACTTAAAAGTCTTCAAATTAGTTTCATTCATCATAATAATTTAAATGCTAAATAATTTTAATTTAACAATGCATTGAAAGAAGTCTGACTTAGGACGAGTGTTTGTGTAGTTGGTAAATTATCCCGAAATAGGACTATGTCTATACTGTAGTGCACAAAGTATTTAAATATGATTTATATATCTTGTAATGTCACACAAGCACTTTAATCAACGAACCCCCAGTTATCCGATTTGACGCGCCATAAAACATAAAAATGGTGCCTTGGCAACTTTGTTCAGCCCAGAAACAATAAAAATATTATTATTCAGCTGAGAAACATTCATATTAATATGTAAAGAAATAATATTGAGCGAATAGTAATCATGTATGAATAACGATCAATTTGGACTTATATATAAATAAGCCGGTACCCAAGCGGTTCAAGCTTCCATTCCAAGTAATGTAGAAACTAAGAAAATATGTTATCCGTATTTGACGATAAATAAATAAAGTAAAGAAATTATTTTTAACAAGAAACGCTATAGTCGAGTGACGCGACTATAAGATACCCGTTACTGTTTTATACAATTGGAAATAGACAAAGCGCCACCTTTTGTCAAAAAAACTTGAATACTAACGTATGGTGACGTCACTGTCCATGTGAGGGCTTATGACCTACATTTCTTCATAAATAGAGAATTCATTTTCCGATTTAAAAAATCTTCGATAACTCGATAGATATTGGCAGAAATATGTTATACAAGGTCAAACGAAGACATACGTTATAATACTATGGACGCCACAGTTTTCGCAGTTTGTGGGCGTTAGAGTTGGCGTGCTTGGATGAAAACTCGAGTCGAGCTGCAGTGATATCTCTTAAATACGTATTCCTAAGCCTAACTTTCTGGCTTTTATAGTTCCCGACATTTTCGCATTTTTGTTTTTTCGTTAGAGAGGGCGTGGCCAGATGGTGTAAAAATAATACGCGTTTGAGTCGTCTTTAGAAACTGCATGCAACTGCAAAATCGTCTTCCGAGCTTGGTGGGCGTAAGAGTGAGAGTGGCCGGATGATGGTACCACCGTCAGATGCGCTAGCATCTCAAGATTATACTTACTTTATCCCAACTTTCTAGCTCTATTGGTTCCTGAGATTCCACCGATTTTAGTTTTTCGTGATTTATGGGAGATAGAGTGGCCGTGGAAATAAACTTGCGCTGCGTAGGGACCTCAAGAATCTTCATGGCTAATCTCATTTTTGTATCTCTTATAGTTCCTGAGATCTCAGCGTTCATACAGACAGACTGACGGACGGACGGTCGGAGAGAAGGACATGGCTTAATCGACTTCGCTATTGATACTGATCAAGAATATATTTAGTTTATATTGTCGGAAACGCTTCCTTTTACCTGATACATACTTTTCAACGAACCTAATATTCCCTTTTACTTTAGAAGTAATGGGTATAAAATAAAACTTTGATCTATGTATAATAATCTGACTCCATATATGGGCATTGGCAGCTGACGCAGTCGTTCTACTCACTAATCGACTTCTGGCCATAGTTGATTTAATTTGGTCAAAAGTGAATTTACGGAGAGATCATTCTCCGCGTTACATTCTCTAATTGTCAATGGGATGGGGGCGCCCAACCACACCCGTAAACGAACTCGGGCTAGCAATGCCAATTGATGACATCGAAAACTACTCCAAACATTTGTGAGTCAGTCAACAATGCGGCTTTGTTTTCGCCTCGATTCACAGTGGCCAATACGAGTGTGCCATTTTCCTCTACTATTTCCTTTTAAGGTAAAGCTGATGCAGCTGTTTTTGGGGTTTCACTGGCTTCGCTTGCAATCAATCAACGTTAAATATCCGCTATGACTGGGCGGGGTCGCGCGATAAGCGGACCGAGTCGAAACTGATTCACACCCCCATGCACAGATATTAATTTCGACGGAAATCGCAGGCAGAGCTGACCAATTGACTTCTCACAAGCAACTTCCTCAGAGTAGATGCTTGCTCAAATCTGCCACAAACAGAAAAGGCACAGCTTGCCTTATTAGTAAGCGTTTTATCGTTCCGCCACCACATGCCGTTGGAATGAGCGCATAGCCATCGAAATACCACTGCTACAGATTGCCGCTTAGTCATCTACTAGTCGAATGGTAGTAGCTACTATCAAAAAGTGATAAGAACATGGGAGTTTTCAGTTCTTTTCGTTGCTTTATTATAAAGAAACAGTTACAAGTATTTTAGTGGTATGGTGTTTTATTTTAATACATATGTAGGAATGCATGGAAGTAAAGAAAATGCCAAATATGAATCGATCTTATAAATGCTAATGTGCATATCAACTTGAATTTCGAATAGAACACAATGGACTTATGCGTAAGTGTACAATTGTGTATAAACGTAGATGGAATGCATTCTTTTGGAAGCAGCGGGATTGTTGTGCGCCTGCTCCCGGTATTAATGTACTTATGCCCAATACTTTTGATTCCCGTCCTTCGTCTGCAATGGGTGTGTTCGGTGCAGCACGACCACACCCAAGTCGGCTTCTGCTTAGAAGCACTTGCGGTGGACAATGGAGGGGCCGGACTCGTCGTACTCTTGCTTGGAGATCCACATTTGCTGGAATGTAGATAGCGATGCCAAGATGGATCCACCGATCCAGACAGAGTATTTGCGCTCTGGAGGGGCAACAATCTTAATCTTCATTGTGGACGGAGCCAACGCAGTGATTTCCTTCTGCATGCGGTCAGCGATGCCCGGGTACATGGTGGTGCCGCCGGATAGCACGGTGTTGGCGTACAGATCTTTGCGAATGTCTACATCACACTTCATGATCGAGTTGTAAGTGGTCTCGTGAATACCACAAGCCTCCATGCCTAGGAACGAAGGCTGGAAGAGCGACTCGGGGCAGCGGAAGCGCTCGTTTCCAATGGTGATGACCTGTCCGTCGGGCAGTTCGTACGACTTTTCTAGAGACGAGCTGGAAGCAGCCGTGGCCATTTCTTGCTCGAAGTCAAGGGCCACGTAGCAGAGCTTTTCCTTTATGTCACGCACAATTTCGCGCTCGGCAGTGGTGGTGAAGCTGTAACCGCGCTCGGTAAGGATCTTCATCAGGTAATCAGTCAGATCGCGGCCGGCCAGATCCAGACGCAGGATGGCATGAGGCAGGGCATACCCCTCATAGATGGGCACGGTGTGAGAAACACCGTCTCCGGAGTCAAGCACGATTCCAGTGGTGCGACCGGAGGCGTATAGCGAAAGCACCGCCTGGATAGCCACATACATGGCCGGCGTATTAAAGGTCTCAAACATGATTTGGGTCATTTTTTCGCGATTGGCCTTTGGGTTCAAGGGGGCCTCGGTCAGCAGGACGGGGTGCTCCTCCGGGGCGACGCGCAACTCGTTGTAAAAGGTATGATGCCAGATCTTCTCCATGTCGTCCCAGTTAGTCACGATGCCGTGCTCGATGGGGTACTTCAGGGTAAGGATACCACGCTTACTCTGCGCTTCATCACCCACATAAGAGTCCTTCTGTCCCATTCCAACCATCACACCCTGGTGACGTGGACGGCCCACAATCGAGGGGAAGACCGCGCGCGGTGCGTCATCACCGGCAAAGCCGGCTTTGCACATACCAGATCCGTTATCGACCACCAAAGCTGCAACCTCTTCATCACACATTTTGCTGTAGATTGATTGGGATCTGTAATGGTAAATAAAAACGCATATGCACACTTGAATCAAAAAGAATAGGCAGTGGCTTTTGGCGGAAAATAAATCATTCTATACAGGCAAAAAATAAAAAAAAAAAAACACGAAGACACTTTCCCAAAAGCAAGAGGGGTGAGCGGAGCAAGGACTCGCGCACGCACCAACGAACAAAGACCGTCAGGAGCTTTACCTTTTTTGGAAATATGTAAAACGAGTAACTTTTAGTTATCCGCTGCGCACACTTAGCACAATGACAGACGCTCTAAGATAGAATTGACCGACGCCTACTTTTTCGAGGCAAAGTGGTTGAAAAGCTGTATGACCGTCTGCGACGCTAAATGTGGAACCTTTTTTATATTCGGAAAATACCATAAATACACCACTAATGAACTGAACTAGTTTTATTTTTTTAATTTTTTCAGTATTATTATTTTTCCTGTAAAGGCAATAACATTTCAATGAAATAAATTATTTAATGTAACTTCAAACGACGTAAGCCGTAGTGGGTTCCTTAAATTTGTAACCAATTATTTAAAAAACCAACTGATTTAATTATAAGCACTATTTAATAGCTTTAAATAAAAAATAATAACATTTAAAAATAAAGTGTAAATTTGGCAGATTATGAAAATTTGAACCAGTGGAAGTCAGTTATAAATAGAAGTAACGATATATATCGCGAGTCTGCAATTGCAATTTCCAAACCATTTATTTCTAGCCGTTTGCCCACCCCGTCTCCCAGCACACCCCGTTGTTTCTAAACTGATAGTGACAGCTAGTCATCAAAATGGTGGACATCAACTTCGAATGCGTGCACCAGATAGAGCCGAACCCCCGATCCGCAGGGCAGCAACAACATGAAGCCTACCTGGAGGCGGTGCGCATTCTTTTGGTTCTTCTGGACAACGTTCTGGCACAGCCGGATAACTTAAAGTACCGTACCATAAGGCTGGAGAACAAAGCTATCAAGGAGAAGTTGCTCACTCTTCCCGGTTGTATAAGATTGTTGAATGCAATCGGCTTTGTGAGGGCTTCCTGCTCCGAAGCTTACACCTTGCCCCCTGAGGTGTCCCTGCAGAAGGTGCAGAAGTACCGAGACGCTCTCATCGAACGGCGCTCTGTCTGGCTGAGCGGAGCAGTCCCTAAGAGTAAGCTTAAATCTAGATGGCTGAGCTCATCTAACATCATAACATTCGATCTCCGGTAGCTCCGCCACAAAAATGCACCTCCTCCAACAAGCCCTCTCCGTTGTTTATTAAGCCTTCAGTGGAATATCGCCAGAGAATCGCCTTTCCGCGTGTTCTGGTAAACCATCAAACGGGATTGATCGGCCAAATTCTAACCTGAGAGCTTTCTTACAGCGTACCACCAATAACTTTCTGCAGTCCCTTGAGTTGTACTCTGATGCAGTCATGCAGTACGAGGATGAGCTGCTGATGACCACTGGCCGCACTCTGATCCCGGTGGACAAACTCACTGAAAAGGCCAGCGAGAAGCTAGTAGATTTGCAGGAGCGTATTGCCTCGGGAGAGTGTCACGAAAAGGAGCCCTGTGTTCGGGACCTTTTGCTCGTGGAGCTGGTAAACTGGTTCAACACACAGTTCTTTCAGTGGGTTAACAATATACCCTGTCGCGTTTGCGGCAGCGAGGAGAGTAAACTCCGCCGCACTCAACGAGAGGCTGATGTGCTTGTAGAGGTCGCCGTTTGCTGCGGTCAGGAGAGCAAATTCTACCGATACAACGATATATCCCAGCTTTTGGTCTCTCGTAAGGGCCGTTGTGGAGAATATGCCAACTGCTTTACTTTCCTATGCCGCACCCTCGACTACGACGCCCGTATTGTGCATTCTCACTTTGATCACGTGTGGACAGAGGTTTACTCTGAGGCACAGGTACGTTGGCTGCACGTTGACCCCTCCGAGAATGTGGTGGATTCCCCACTGATGTATCAGCACGGTTGGAAACGCCATATTGATTACGTACTCGCCTACTCGCACGACGACATCCAAGACGTAACTTGGCGCTATACGAACGATCACCAAAAGGTCCTGCAGTTGCGCAAATTGTGCAGTGAAAAAGAAATGGTGCAGACCCTTGAGAAGATTCGCACCAAAAGACGGAAGAATTGCACTGCCGAACGAAGATTGCTCCTGGGGCAGCGCAACATGTCCGAGGTTATCGGCATGACCCTAGAACGGTAAGCTTTTACAGTTACATTCTACTATCCGTTTTGAGCTACCCCTACGTTTTCTTCTCAGAGAGCCGTCGGAGAACGAACTAAAGGGAAGGAGTTCGGGCAGCCTCACTTGGCGTCAATCGCGGGGGGAGCATACGTTTACTAACGTGAGTGACCCGCGATTTGTTGCAGAGCGTCGGTAAAAACTTATTTATTTGCAGATTTTCGTTTTCAAACCAAATGAAGTCGAGATTCAAAAACGGCAACTAAATTTGCGATACAGCTGTGCCACCGATACTTACGAACGGTATGTCAAAGGTGCGTAATAAATTTATCCATAACAATGAGAACACTTTAAATTTCCAACTCCTTAGATGAAGGTCACATCACTATTCTGGACACCTACAAGACTTGGCAAAAAGCGCAATTTTCATCAAATAACATTTTTCGAAAGGTTGAACGCGATTGGAAAATGGTCTATCTGGCAAGACTTGAGGATACTGATTGTGGTGATATTGTCTGGAAGTTCGATTTTAGCAAAACAAATCTGAAGGTTAAGTCCTACAACTTGGTTTTCGGAACGAAAACTTTTGGCGATGGGAAAATCTCTGCTACCGTTGAAGCCCTGAATGGGAACGCTTCAGTTGAAAATACCAATGGATTTAAAATTGTGGTTAAGCTTACGGGTGGTAAGGGCGACGTAGCGTGGCAGCACACTCAACTCTTTAGGCAGAGTCTAAATTCCCAGGACTATCCTTTCGAATTGCAGGTGGAATTACATTAAATAAATATATTCAAAAATCAAAATGTAACTGTATATATGCATGTAAAAGTTCCTGTCTGGAGGAAAAGTTTAAAGATAATTTGTAATATAAGTATGTAAGATCCTTACACACAGTGTCATTATAATTAAAATTATAGCTAGATAGTCCGAGTAACGAAATCCAAAGAAGAACAAGTTTGATAACTGTGACGCTCTATAATACGAGTCGTAAGTAAGTGCCAGATGATACGGCTATAAATTGCTTCATCTAGTAGTATCAGTTAGTTAATTGATCGTCTTAATATATATATCAGATTATTGTACCCGTTACTCGTAGATTAAAAGGGTATACTAGATGAGTTGAAAAGTATGTGACAGGTAGAAGGAAGCGTTTCCGACCCTATAAAGTATATATATTCTTGATCAGGATCAATAGCGAAGTTGATTGAGCCATGTCCGTTTGTCCGTATGAACTCTGAGATCTCAGGAACTATAAGAGATACTAAAATGAGATTAACCGTGAAGATTTTGAGGTCCCTATGCAGCGCAAGTTTATTACAGCATCCTGCCACATCCACTCTAACGCCCACAAATCGCGAAAAACTAAAATCACTGAAATCTCAAGAACTATTAGAGCTAGAAAGTTGAAATTGAAGTTGAAGTTGAATTTAGTATGATGCCAGCGTATCTTAAGTGGTTATTATCCGGCCACACCCACCCATACGCCCACCAAGCTCAAAAGACGGTTTTCGCATTTTCTAGAAAAGCTGATATCTCGGTAACTATAAAAGATAGAAAGTTCGGATTAAGCACGTAGGTTTTAATGATACTCCCAATGCGAATTGTTTTTTTTTCGATCAAGCCACGCCCACCCTAACGCCCACAAAACCCGAAAAAACAAAAATGTAAAAATCTCGGGATGCCACTGCAACTTTCCACGAAGTTTCATCCGGCCACGACTACTCTAACGCCCTCAAACCGCAGAAAACTGTGGCGTCTAATCATGGTTGTGACTGCATGATTAGGCAGATATACTTACTGAATATTAAAAGGTAATAAATATATGCTGAAATGCTTCATTAAATTGATCTCAGAATCACTACACCCTAACGTCCACAAAACCCGAAAAAACAAAAATGCAAAAATCTCGGGATGCTACTGCAACTTTCCACGAAGTTTCATCCGGCCACGACTACTCTAACGCCCTCAAACCGCAGAAAACTGTGGCGTCTAATCATGGTTGTGACTGCATGATTAGGCAGATATACTTACTGAATATTAAAAGGTAATAAATATATGCTGAAATGTTTCATTAAATTGATCTCAGAATCACTACATATATAAAATCTGAAACATACATTCGAAGTTAATTGAACTTTATATTTTTGTGATGCCCGTCACAAAAAACGATACTATCGATAATATCGAAGTTTCGCTCTCAACATATCGAAAATATCGAATGGGTTGACCATCGATAGTTCCCCATCCCTAGTCCAACTAGCACGCCTCTCTCTCACGCAATCGGGACTAGAGCTGTAACCAATTCTACTTTTTGAGAATCGATTCTTTTCGTTTCAGTTCTTCAAAAGATCGATTAAATCGCTTTAAGATCGAAAACGAAAAAAAAATTTTAATAAAAAAGGAACATTTTGCTTAAAAAGTTTTAAGGAAAAGACCAAATTTACAGTTCCAAACAAAAGTAAATTAAAAAATTAAAAAATTTGTTTGATTTGTTTGTTTCAATGTTTTTTTTTTAAACAATGGGCTTTTATTTGTGAATACATGTCTACGTTTTTGGGTTTCAAGAACGCTATGCGGTCGGTGACTATGCATCCAGCGCGGACAACAATCTACATAATTTATTTTTCTCTCTTCTCTCTTTTTTTCCTCAACACCAACACACACTGATTCTGGAAGTGATTAATATTTATTAGTTTAATTGAGTTATATTACTTTAAAATACTATTTTCGCTTACTTAATTTTTTTTTAGATGAGCAAATTTTTTCGCCTATCCAAAAAGATCGATTAAATCGATTTAAAAATCGAATTGTTTACAACTCGATTCGGGACTAATATTGCGTTTTTGCTCCCAAGAGAGAACCTGGAATTCGTATCCCAGGTCGACTTCTAGGAATTATTGCTTGAAAGACTTCGAGTTTTGTAGAAACGCAGATATTTCCGTAACTATAACTGATATAAAGTTGGGATTAAGCATGTAGTTTTTAATGATGCCTCCAATACGTTTTATTCTTTCCCCATTCAGCCAAGCACACTCTAACGCTCGAAAAACGCGGAAAAACTAAGTTAATCGGATTTCTACTTTAAAAAACCAATTAAAATTCAAACTTTATTAGAGATGCCATTCATTGCCATTGAATTTCAAATGTATGTGAATATAAAACGATAAGTTATATATGTACATATTTATGTACATAAATTGCCTAGCATTTTATGCAGGGTATGGAAGCATTTTATCGATGCTTAACAATAATGTAGTTTTTTCGATATTATTGCGACTTATGAATGGATAAATTTAAGAACTAACAACAACAAAGATAACAAAGATATTTTGTAAATACAGTCTGCACATAATTTATTCGTACACCCATGAGTTGCACGTTTATTGCCTAATATCTCGAGAAATATGTACGTAACGGAAATTAAAGTGCAATATCTCAAATGAAAGGTACACATTTCGAGAATACATATATTTTAAACATAAAATTAACAAGTTTTAACTTTAATACTACATAATTTCCTTAATAACACAAAAAAGTCATTTTTTTACGCACAAAAAATGTTGAAAAAAAACAACAATTCCAAAGATTTAAGGACTTTAATCTTTAGTGGGTCCTTCGTTGGCCCTAATGGAAGCTTAATGCGGTTTTAAATACAATATTCGTGTAAAAACAAGAAGAGGCGCTAGTCGAGTGCGGCGTTGCCCGTTGTTGTTGTTTTACGACGTAGAGAAACTTTTTGTAATAAACAGCATGTTGTTAAGACATGTTGTAAGACATATCGTAGTATTTGCCAGATCAGCGACTTTTTTTTTTTTTCTCATCAGGTACGAACTACGGAAAATTTGTAGTATTTGTATTCTTTTTTGAGTAATTGTGTCAGTTTCCGATAGTTACTTGCTAAAGCTTTAATTTTTTTTAGTTTTTTGATACATTTCTTTTTAGTTTTTTTTTGGATTTTTTTAAATAATTTTTTAACTTTTTTCTCCAACTTTCCGTCTAAAACAGCTTTTTTTGCTGGTCAAAAGTTGGCAGCACTGCTCCCGAGGATCTAATTCAGTCCACTGCAGGAAGGGAAAATCATAGCGATCTAAGGCTAAGAGGAGTTAGACGTGAACCGGAAAAAAAATAATTCCAGAAACTCCAGCGCCAAGAACAAATTCTAGAAGTCTGGGAGGAAAAAGGAAATTAACAGGAAGGCGCAGATTTGCTGCTCTCATCTGGGTGGGCCCTGGTTTAGTGAGATTATGAGTCGTTCCTGGCGGTTGCCGAGGAAGTTTCTTCTCCTTGTAGGTAGTAAGCGATTGGGACCCTGGCGGTTGCCGAGGGAAATGCTCCGTTATCACGGCCCTTGAGGCGCGGTGATCAATTTAATAAAATGAATAAACTATTTAACGGCTGTGCCGGAGTATGGGACAAATGCCTTCTTTATTGAATGAAGCGCAAGTACCAACTGAAACTTAAAGATAACAAAAATGTATTTCATAGCGGCCACGCAAATATGCAGTGTTCGCCGGCTATGCATGGGCATCCGGCCAGACGCTGTGTCAGCAGCAATCTACCTCGTATAACTCTTCCCAGTATTATTTATTTTTTTATTCTTGTTATTATTGATATATGTATGTTTCATGTATTCGTCCCTGTGGTACCCAGTAAAATGATCGAAAAGATAATGAGTGAGTAGTTTGAAATGGGGTGAGGTGACGCGGTACAGACCGAGTATCCAGTGCCCAGGGAGTTGCGCAAAAAATGTTCCAGCAGCTTAATAATAGGGGGTATATTCCGCTGCCCCCGAATAAAGGACCGCAGTCGCTTCGTTTCCTCTCTCAGAATTACCATCAGATAGACAGATCCAAACATCGTGGTCCCAATCACACCTGAGGAACCCGATGACTAGCGGAACCCGATGGTTAGATCCCCGATATCCCAGTCCCAGATCCCAGTCGTGACAAAACAATGTTGAATAAGATTCCTAAGAAATCCCAAATAATAAATCGATAAAAATAACCTAGAAATGTGAAAGAAGGTCAGATGAAAACATTAAGCTTAATATTATAGACGACACAGTTTTCCTCGGCTTGTGGGCCTTAGAGTGTCCGAGACCAGATGAAAAATCACCTCGAGCTGCCTCGATGCCTAAGCCTAACTATGGCCTATATCTACATAATAGTTCCCAAGATTTTGTCGTTTTAAGTTTTCTGTGTTTTTCGGGCGTTTAGAGTGGGCTAGGAAAAAATAAAACATCATTAGAAACTACATTCTTCGTCCCAACTTTTATAACACTTATAGTTACAGAGATATCTGCGTTTCTACAAAAATCGAAGTCTTTCGAGCTCAGTGTGCTAAAAAGTGGGCGTGGACGGATAATGGCCTGAGATCTTAGCGTTCATAAGGACACACGGACATGTCTTAATCGACTTGGCTTTTGATCCTGATCAAAAATATATACAGTGGCTCCAAGCTTATTTCGTGCAAGAAGAAATCGAAGTTTAAATTATACTGCTTTTAAACCAGCAGAGATATAAAAAAATTTAAACGCAGTAATGTTAAGAATGTCGCATATAATTAAAATAATAACAACAGTTTTTACTAATTTAAAAAACAAAAGAATTTTTCATACAAAAACTAAAAAATAGGGCAATTCTGACGCACAAGTTTATTTCGTGCAAGCACTTTAATGTCGGGTACCATGAGCACATTCAAGAATATATTAGAGGCGGTTGAAACCGGAACACAGTCTTGGGAGGATGTGTTAGGAGAGCTGCAGTTGGCAATCAATTGTAAAACCAATCGCACTACGAGAGCAAGTCCTTTAGAAATGTTATTGGGAAAGGTAGCACGCCCATTAGAATTGCTTCCACCTAGTGACACAGAAAATGTTATTCATCTGCCAAGCGTAAGAGCGCAAGCTGCAGAGATTATATTAGCCAGTGCAGCTTATGATAAGGAACGATTTCATAGAAAGAAGGCAAAAGTAACAAAGCATATGTAAAGTTAGAGATTTTGTGTTACTTAAAAGCGAAGACACCAGACCAAGTTAAGTCCGAAATTCAAGAGGCCTTTTGAAATAGTAAAAGTTCTAGAAGGTGACAGGTGCATATAAAAGTCCTTAAACAATAATAGAAAATATAAATATTGCCATGAGGATTTACGAAAGTTGGCAGAGGGGCAAGTGCCCGATAATAATATTGTTGATAGTAATATAGCCGTTGCAGAAGGTGAGGAGAGCGAAAATGCAAAAACTGGGAGTATTGAGGGTATTGACCAAGAAAGTAAAGTACACCAAGAAGGGTGACGAAGTTGTACTGCTGGCCAACGAAAATGGCAGAATACTGAGGCCATAAAATATAATGCAAGCACAAGTGCAAAACATACAGTGGATTAATGTTTTGATCATGGCGTGTGGGGTATTTAATTATGCAACTATAAGAATGATTAATAAAAATGAATAAAAAAATATTTAAGGGTGGTTATGTAACCCAATACTTTTTTGTGAAATTTTTAACATTATAATTTGTTATAAATGAAGATAAGAAAATTGGCTTTTGATATAAAACTATTTAATGTTCAGTTTGGAATAAACAAAAGAAGAAAAGAGGGTCGGTGCCTTGAAACTGAATAGTTGTGAATGGGTCAGTGTGCGAATTCGCATTTTCGGGTATTTCTGGGAAGTACCGTTTAGCGGGACGACAGCGTTGTGTCGCTGTGAGTCGAAAGCAAGTAGAGATTCGAACGACAGATCTGTGTCTGTCGTCATCGCGAGAGAAAACTTGGAAACGCGATGCGCTATGGAAAACGAGAATTCGACATGTACGTATACATATGTACATACATACATATACATATGTACATACATACATATACATATGTATGTCGCAGATCCTGGATTTATTGAAGTTCTAGAAGCCGTCGTCTTATTTGGCTGGTATCGACTGATGACGTAAAAACGCAATATTAGTCCCGATTGCGTGAGAGAGAGGCGTGTTTGGTTTGGCAATTCATCATAAATAGACCCATGTCTGAACATAGTGCAATTTTATTTATACAAAAAATTCAAATTTTTACTTTGTATATTGATTAGAATTTAACTATAAGTTTTATTGTCCACGAATCACAACGATGACTTTTCTACATCTTGTCATTTATGTAAGTGTAATGTCTAATATTGAGTTAAATATATTGTTAAGAATACTATGTACATCAAATGTAGTCTCCGAAAACGTACTTAGAGGTAAGGGTGCTAGTAACAGATGGGATTTGGCCGTCTCTAAAAAGAAACAGAAATATATTGCGCCTTTAGCATAGATATGTACATATGTACAAACATATGCATAGATCGATGTTATCGACTTACCTGGTTTGGTTTTTAACCACGCGTCGCACATCAGTCATTATGGTGTCGATGTCAGAAGTCTTGCCCATCCGATTGAGAGCCTCACACAGCGTCTGAATGAACGGAGTACCGTCTTCCGTACGGTAGGATACATATCCCTCGTAGGTGCTGTAACACTTAAGGATCTCATTGGGAGACCCATTTGGCTGGGCGGCATCCGTCATAAAACCTCCCAGCTCGTTGGCGCCCTTGCAGGCCTGGACGAAAAGAAGCTTGGGCTTGTCCTTCAGCGACCGGTTACGCAGGATGGGAAAAATCACGTCATAGTCTAGTGAATAGTCGTCATCCTTTGCCGCGAGTCTATCGTGTCGCGTTCCATGACTTAGTATTACTAGAACCAGAGCGCTTTTGTCCTCAAAGTCTTTCGTTTCCACTGCAAAAATTTGGGTTAAGACACGGATTGACTAAAAAAAAAGGCTGAAATACTTACGCATTCGCACCGTCTTCTTGATAGTGGCGAGAGTGGCATCCGTAATGACCTCTACCTTGCACTTTAGTTGTTCAAAAGTGGCAAGTAAGACCCTCACATCCTGGCCACTGCCCGTACGGAACTCGTTCTTGTTATCAAACCGCTCATTGTTAAAAATATACACCCTGGCGGGTTTAAGTTTATTCTTAGTTACGCTAGATTTGAAGGTACTGAGGTTAGTTGGATTGGTGCCTTGGGCGTCAAGGGTACGTACAGTCTCAGCGACCTTGGACTTGCCGCTGGGCGCTGAAGTTCCCAGGCTAATGTACGGTTTGGGAAATGCAGTAGAGGCCTTGTCAGATGGCTTTGGGGTGGACTTAAAGAAGATCGAAAAAGAGGAGTTGGATGGCACTGGCTTCGATAGACTCGAAACGGAGCTGGCACTGGAGCTAGTAGTTTCTGAAGGTTTGGCATACAGAGATGTGTAGGTTAAAGCCAGACTGGGTTTCTGGGCGTAGGGTGAGACGTAGGTAGAGGACGAGCTATTGGCAGTGAACGGCTCCCAATTACTTTTACTACCCTTGTCTTTGAGATCTACCCGATTCGTCTCCACGTGCTGAGTAACAGTTTGCCCATTCCTTTTAGTCACAGTTGTCTGTTCGGTCTTAACCAGCGTACTAGATCGCTTGCCGGCATTGCTGGCCGTGGCCTTAAATGGCTGTGTGGAGCGGAAGGAGACCCCGTTTAAGCTTGGCGGCCGGGAACGGGAGGATGTGGTTGTGGTGGTAGCGGTGGTAGTGCCTGTTGCGCCCTTACCACCCATTTGCATCTGGGCAAAAAAGGCCTCCAACTCCGCCTGGCTGGGAGTGCGGCGCGTTGTCGTCTCCGTGATCAGCGCCCTCTGCGTGTGCGTCACCGTCTGACGGGTGGAGAGATAGGTAATAGTCTGTTTATTGCTGTCCGTGATGGTTGAGTTCTGCACGGCAGTGTTGGTCGTCTTCGTAGCAGCGCTCGTCGTCTTTACCCGCGTCCGCGTGTCCTGCAGACTAGGCTGGATGCGATCCGTCTCGCTTTTCTTGCTCCACCAAACCATTATCCCTTTGGTCTGCGTGTGCTTGTTTCGTTTCCTATCTTTATTTCGCTTGCTCACCCTGTGTCGCAGTAGCTTTGGCGCGTACTTATGGTCCGACGGTTCTCGCGATACTGAAAAACGAACAGAATTTCGCGGAAAGAGAGCTTCCGAGATAACGTGGCTTATTCATCGGGTGCCCCCCGTTCTGATCTGATTTTATCCATTTCCCCGGTACTACGCCACTTCTAATTGCGTGCCGTCGTGTGTGTTATCCGCTCTCTGACATGGCTGATAACCAGGTTTCTTTAAATTCACATGTATGTTAATACATATATATTTATGTACATATGCATACATATACATACAATGTCGTCCTCTCTACCAAGTTAGTATCTCTGGGTATACCTCGCGTACACTCCTATGTAAGTAAGTACATAGAATATGCATGTAATCATATAGAATGGCTAAACTTCGAATGGCAAATAATACTTCCTGTACTAAACAAACTAACGGGCTCGCTTAAAATAACAATAATTTAATTGTAACTGAAACATTATTTCTAAAATATTTATTGAGTAAATAAAGCTTCTCAGAAGAACCTGTGAAAGATTTTGGTAATTATTCGACTACATCTGTCATAATTTATATTTATGTTCATAAATGTATGCATATGCACATTTACATGTTTTCGATACATCAGCAACACCGATGTTTACCAGGGATGTTTAAAACATTAGCTAAAAAGTACTTTTGCGTTCCCGCTAGAGGTGGAGAAACATCGATGCGAACATCGATGTTTTCGAAACATCGGCAACATCGATGTTTGCTGGAGCAACACCGATGATTTTCCGTTTCTAAGGCACATTGAGGAAGATTGACGAATTGTAAGAACGTATATCACTTAATTTAATGGCGACGCTTTTAAAACGTTATCTTAATAATACTTCTACGATCCGGCATCTTCGTGCGAATCTGAAAGATTTTTCAGTATAGCTGGACAACTTATAAGTGAACGTCGCACGCGGCTATCTTCGACCGTTATCGATAAGCTCCTCTTTTTAAACAAAAACAAACATGTAAATGATATGCAAATATACATATAGAGTAGAGTTCGGGATAGTAAGTATAGTAGGAATATCACAATATCCCAAAAACGATTATTTTCTTTGGACCATGTATATATTGAAACATTGATATAAAATTTGTTTTTTTGTTTGTTTTTATTTACAAATTAAGAATAGGACTATATACCAAAGAAGTGGAACATGAATTTAATGAACAGTTTTATTTTAATTTGTTTTTCTTTTCGTTTATATTTAATAAGTGATTAATAAATTGGATATTTTTTGTTGAAAATTTGAATTTTAATATTTAAACATTACAAATTAAAGTTCAAATACGTTAAAATAACTGCAAATTTTTTTTTGGGGAAATCAAAAACATCGAAAACATCGATGTCCGTGAGAAAATAATAGTTCTTTTGAATATTGTGATATAAATCGATTTAATCCATCTTTTTGGATGAGCGAAAAATTCGATTCTTTTTTTAGATCGATTCACCGACAAATTTGCTCACCTAAAAATGCCATTAAAAATTTTTTTTTCGTTTGTTCTGTCTTAATTTTTTTTCCTACTTTAAAACTATTTGTGTAATTCAATTATTTATTTTGAAGCTAAACACTCCCAATAGATTTATGCTTTAGAAGTATTGAAATAACACTTTATTTAACCTTCCTTGACATACATTGTACATAGTAGTAGTTCACCGAGTTAATGTCACGATGAAAATATACCTTTCAAAAGAGAATCCAGAGAATGAGAAGGAGAGAAGAATCGTCAAATAGGATGACGGATCTGGTAACTCTAGTAGGATTTTTGTACCTGTTACACGTAGAGTAAAAAATTAAAAAAAAGAGTAAAGAAGTATCTTTTAAATTCTATAATCTTCATAAGCCATAAAAAGCTTTGAATGGTTTGACATGATATCAGAAAAACCTTATATTTTCAATATACTTCGTAACTTAGTCACATTTGTATACATATATTTATGTATTATGTAATCCCTAAGTGGCGATCTCACTCTCCAATGATGTGTACGATCAATATCCCAAGCGGACAATCTCGTTCCCAAATTTATGTAAATTAAGATTCGAATACAAGAATTTAGTCTTAAGCTGAGATCAAAAGAATAAAGAGCTCAAAACATTACTCGTTTTACTACTTTAGATTTCAGTTCTCATTCAATCAATAAGGAAAATTCGGCAAATCTGATCAGCTGTCTCATTAGGTGATGGCAGCACTGCATTTTTATAGAGACAGCGCCCTTTTTTAAGCAGCTAAATTTGAAATTTTGTTTATTTTTTTAAGGTTTTTGTTTTGTGTGATTTACGTTAAAATTTATGTAAGTGTGAAACTTATGTAATTTTTATATACATATGTCGCAGAGTGACTCCTAGTACTCGGAGGCGAGTACATTTTTAAAGGCAATCTGAATTCTGGGAATTACACGCTTCTGTTTTGATAGATGATGATTGAATGAAAAGCACGGCAGCAGAGGCACAGACGCTCTGCTGCTGAGTGAGGTCCGATCGTAGATATCATAAATCTTTAGTAAGACAGATAGGACAGTGTACATTGTACAGTGGCTCCAAGCTTATTTCGTGCAAGAATAAATCGAAGTTTAAATTTGATACTGCAACTAAACCAGCAACTTGCGGTACACGGGCATCTCTAAAATATGCTTGCTTGTTTCCAACTTTCTTCAGATCTCAGCTTTCATACAGACATGGCTAAAAAGACCCTGCTGTAAGTCCGGTTAAAAATATGTTAACTTCATAAATAAGATGCCTCCTTAGGTAAAAAGCTTAAATAGGTTGCTAGAGTTCGCCTAAGGACAAAAAAATGTAACTCCCATTACCCACCCACTAGCGACCAGCCTTTACCAGAGGAGATGGCTTTGTGATAATCAGGAAATCGTCATTGACATTGATATTTCAAATAAAAATTATTATTATCAAAAACTATCAGAAAGAAGAAGAGTATGATTTTAAAAACAATATATGCTATAATTTCTTTTATATACATTTACCGAAGAGCCATTGACTGGGATGCATGCTGATCAAGATTTACGAGTTGGTACGATTGGTTTATTAATATTAAAAAATAATTCTTTTTGTTTCCATTTTATAAACTCAAAATGAGAACCAACTTGAAGATCTCTCTTCGAAACTTTGCATAATCTTAGAATAAGTATAAGATGGTGAAATAATAGGCTTACGCATAAATATTCTCACACTGGCATTCACAATACTCTTATAACATATGAGGCATCTAAAAAAATAATTAAAAGAAGATTTTGTTTTGTTGTCTGGTTTTTCTTTTCATATAGAAAATTAAGCGTAGGTGATTCTAATAAATATATTATTTAATTTAGTCATTTTATGTCATGCTGAGGCCCTTTAAGGCACTAACTACATAGTGTATAGTCACGCGAAAAAATATATGTATTTATCTTTTTCATTTAGTTTAATTCCTTAACCTACTAAAGTTTCAGCGCTCTTTGTCCGAAAATTACAACAAAATCCTAACAACAGTTCTATTGTGAAATTAGGAAATAGTTTCGAGTCCTAATATATGTATAAGTTAGTGAATGCGTCAATGGCTTCGATGAATTTGAGAGCCGAGAGTCAACTTATTTCTAGGTGCACGCCGGCGACGGTAAATTCAACCTTTCAACTTTAGTGGCACTTGTCAGCTACGATTGGAAAGCGAACAACGCGGATCTCATTTCCGTAGTCACAAACTACCGAATCGCAGGCAAGCATCATAATTTTCGGGCAAAGCTGCAAGTTGGCAAAGTCCAGCTTGACCTCGCGAGCCGGCTGCCCAGTGCGCACATCCCATACAATAAGAGATCCTGCAATGAAATCGATGGAATAAAGTACAAACCCAGTTAAAATGGCAAGCAAGTGAATGTCTTACCCATTTTACTGGTCACCAACAGCGATGGTGTTAGCATCAGTAGACTCGAATACGCATTGGAGATGTTGATAGTAGTCAGTAAATTTCCCTGGAATCTCTCCCAAACGCAGATCCGCTCGTCCGTACCCAATGAGATCACATAGCTGGGGGCGCACGCCAGGCAGCTGACGGCGCCGTCGTGGGCTTGAATGTTATACATGCAGGCACCCGTGAACAGATCCCAAACGCAAAGAAGCCCATCCTGAGAACCAGAACCCCCCGTGCCCGGTTGCCAGCGATCTACGAACAGGCACGTTACGGGTCCACAGTGACCGTGCAGCGTATATTCCACATCCGACTTGTTAAGACAATACACCTTTGGATAGCGGTTATAGTGAGAAAAATAACTTTAATAGAAAGATCTTGGACGCACCTTGAGGGTGTGATCCTGACTGCCAGTAAAGACCATGTCGTTAACGACCTGCATGCAGGTGATTGGCTGCTGATGGGCTAATCGCACGCCCTCCAATGTAATTTTCATTTCCTCTTTGGTGGTCTTCTGGGCTGCTTCGTGTTGGCAACGCTGCTGCTGCATCATTAATCCAAGGCTTCCAGTGGATCCAGTTCGGACATGAGCTTAAAAAAGAATTTTATTATTTATTAGAGAAAAAAAATTATCAAGAGAGACATACTGCGTCTATAAGCTGAGGTAAAACCCCAGTCGATCTGCTTGCCCTTGTAATACGTCTCTAAACGGTAGAAATCTAGACGGCCGTTCAGACGGGCTACAATCACCCGATCGCCATTCAGGTGGATGTGGGTTATACCTTGGTTTCTCTTTGCGTCTTCCTGGTATGCACATTTAAGCAAGCCGGCAGGGGATTCCCATAGCTCCACGCGCCCGTTAGCGCAGCCGACTGCGATAAGATTGTCAAAGAAGTCCAGACACCACACTGGTGAAACAGGCAGCTTTCGTATCAGCGTTTGACCATCCGGTCGCGGCTGAGAGATTTGTATGTCGGTGCGGGCAATGCTGCTTAGTTGCTCGCCACTGCGCGCATCCCACACACGAATTTGGCCCTTAAGACAGCAGCTGATAATGTATGCCCCATCAGATACCAGACACTCTATGCGATGCTTGTGTCCGGCAATTTGCGTTGGCACTCCCTCGAGGATCTGTTCAGTCTGTTTGTACGGTGCCTCGGATTCGTGCCAGCTAGAACGCCATTCTGCATAGTTTCTGGTACAGATGCAGCGGTAAAAAACCACCATCGTGTAGCAGAGCACAAAAATGCTGATGCAGCACAAAAGAATGGCAAAGAATATTTCCATGGGGCTTTTAGGGACCAGCGGCATGCCACCGGCCATAAGCATAGGAGACTCGCGGTGCACGTCGTCGTCATTGAAGTCAAGCGGATCAAGCGCGGCAGCCAGTGCCTTCCATTGGAAATTTTGTTGCATTTGCTCCTGCGGATTCCGTAAAAGTGTGGCCAGCTCCGGCGAGATAGCATGGCTCAGCCGAATGGTTGGAAGCAGCGTCACGTAGTGTCCGCTTAGTGATACGTTGTACTGCTTCATAATCGTGGACCAATGGAAGTTCGAGAGAAAATAGTTTAGGTCAAAGCTTGGATAGCGCAGTCGCAGCATTTCCTCAGCTGTCTCGTTGATGTAGTTCGCGGATGATGCTTGTATAGGCGTGGAAAAAACACTGCTGCTCGGAGAACTCGTCGTCACCCGCTGCTCATTCGCTTGCCATCCCTCGAAAAAGCTGCTGACGGCTCCACGACCCGCTTGTAGGCGCCGTTGGAGCTCAAGCGTTGCTGTCATCGTGCCGTTGCTCTGCATGCTAAACAGCTGCTCCAAACATCCCGAGTTATACACTATAGAGCATATCCATACAATCATCCAGATCATAAAAGCCCGTTGGAAGAATCGAGTACGCGCCCAAAAGTTTACAATCTTTATGCGTTTTGGTATTCGTTGTTCCTGCGGCGAGTGACCGTTAACTAAGTTTGTCCGATCGTTACCAGATGCGGCATCAGCAAAGCAGAGTTTCGGATGCGAGTGTGAGCGTTGAAATGTTCCGGGAACATAGGGTGGCATCGTTGGAGCAGCTCCAAAGAATCGAAAGTCCTGACGACACGCCCCTTGTGTGCAGCTTAGCAGCATTTTGGGAAGGTGCTTCGCCTCCGTCGTGTACTCGGCTCGCTTGATGTTCATGGCCAGGATAGTAGAGAAAAGCAGCATCTGAAGCATGAAATCCGAGAGCAAGCCGACTATGGCGAAGATACAGAACTCCTGAATGACTGGCACAAAAGTAGCCAAGCCAATCGTCAAAATTGTAATTTCTGTCAGCAGCGTCTTGGATATATGCCAACCCTCCTTGCTGAGGGCCTGAGCGACTCGAATCTTTACGTCAAACGTCTCGTCCATTGACACTACGCTTTTTGTGATTACCAAGCTATTTTCCAGTCCCACTAGAATTACCAGGTAGGGAAATATGTCCTTTGATTGCAGTGAGATGGTTAAACCAAAAAAGAAGCACAACCCAAGGGACATGGCCAGGCTCCCGGCCGTGGTGATTACGCTGCATAGTGCCAGCAAGAAGCGCGATCGAAACACGTCGATTTTACGGACAGAGAAGTAGACGTACGCAAAAACCAGCAAAAAGGCCACTGTGTACGGCACCAGCTCCCACATCCTGTACTCTCCAGGGTAAAAAATGTACGTTATCGTTGATGGGTCATCTGCGGGCCCACTTGCCGGGCGTGGTAGTGGCGGGTAGTGCTGATGCAACTTCTCCTTAAGTGTCTCCAGATATTCCACGTCGTTGTGCTTAAGGACCAACGTTAAAGCATACTGAATTATACGAGAGCGGGAGCGTAGCGGGTATCGTTTGAAACCGGTGTCCTGCATGGGCAGGCCAAAAAGCATTTCAGCGGCAGAAACCTTTGACTTTTGCAAATTCTGTAAATATGTAAAAAATGAGCGAACATTGAACAAACAGAACCACCACTTGGGCTTTATCACCAATAATTGTCTGTTTTGAAGGGTGTGTTCATTTTATAGACATGAAGCAATTCATAAATTTAGAATCCATTATACATAGTTCACTAACAGTGTTAGGCATTTTTATTAATTTCCAGCTCGAATTAATCGATCTGATTTGTCAGGTTTATGCATAGCTCAATATCACCAGATATCTTCTATTCCTTCCAATCCCAATATAAACGTTTGTAGCTGATAGCAGTATTATCTCTGATTATACGAAGGCCAATTTCCTCCATTATCATATCCAAAAAATCAGTTTCTGAACTAATTGAAATTGATTCGGACTTGAGTCGAAAAAGTTATGTTCAAAGCAAATCGTGTGAAGTGTAATGCGTTCTATTAGATTTGAGCGATATATATACATATATATGTTCATATGTATGCATAAATATCTGAATATAAGGACCTGTCGCCGACTACTTAAGGCTGAGAGCCGCGTATAAGGCTTGTGTGCCTTTCGTTAGCTCAAAATCGGTCGGTCTAGACAACACTGCAGTTCACAATCGAATGCGGAATTGGCAAAAATAATTACAGTCTGAGCTGGAGATCCTTCTCTAATCAACTGTCCCTGTTAAGCCTCTATAACCAGAGCTAATAATGTTTTGACAGAGGTGAAGCTAACTAATTTTTCCTTTTTTGTAACTACGTACTATGTGCATCAAATTCGAGTTTAGTGATACATGAGTGCGTTGGTGTACACTTACATGATACTGGAAAATCGTGTTCAGAATATTTGTGTCCCGGGTGAAATTTTGAGAATTTTGCGTCCACAGGTTGGCGGGCGAAAGCAGAAGGCAGCCGTACTCGGGGAAGATCTGGTCCAGCTGTCCGTGGGTTCCGCGCTTTACGTTCTCTACATGAAGACAGTTATGCTCGAGTGTCCGCTGGCTGTGACAGATAATTGAATCAATTAACTATTCTAGTCATTGGAAGAATCGTCGATATACTCACTTTTCGCTGCTCTGATGATTGCGCACAATTTCAAGCAATTTAAAAACTTCATAGAGCGGTGCACGGAAAGCATCCATCAACTCCATCCCCTCTGACCATGGGAGAACGCTGGCACGGAGCGTTACCTGCTGTACATAGAAAAATGCGGGGCTACTCTGAGCCCAAGGTAACAGAAGAGGAGGACTTCTGTCCGAGGTACTGCCGTTAAGGAGCTGGGCGGGTCCAGAGGGCGGAGGTTCACCGGAGGCGGTTGGTGCATGCGGTGCAATCGTGGGGTCACTGTAATTGTACGTCGTCAGAGAGCCAGACCCCGCATCGTAGGGTAGCACAATCTTGGTAGGTATTGTCCCGGGCAAAGGTATGTTGATTAACGGATAGCTGTACGAGAAAAAAAGGTCGTTAATGGGAGTGCTCAGCTAATTCGCTATTTTCTCGCCGACTTCAGCGACCCTTAGAAAAACCTGAAAGCCTATTCAACTATTTTCCTAATCAAATATAGTATGTTTGTTTAAAATGCATTCGCATTCAAAGCAAAAATAAAAATTATAATGCTGTAAATAATTAGTAAAAGGTAATTTAAACCAAACTGAAATACTGTCGCTATATGATATTGGTGGTGGCCACCCGGTCTCGTTTCGACTCTGCATAGTGATGATAGTGCTACCGACCTTCCTCTTGAAAGCTGATAGCAAATTCTTAGCTTCAGATATATAGTGTTGACAAAGAGGAAAACACCCGACTCAAAGGAAATGCCTTTATTATTCTGCTGTCAGCTAGGGTTGTTGATAATATATCGAAATATCAATATATAGATATTTTTTCTAAAAATTATATATTTATATATATAGTGATAGTGATTTTTTGTTTGCCCAAATATTGTAATTCAAATCGACATCGAGTGACCAAATTCAAGCGTAAAATACAAAAATGGGTGTAAAATCAAACTATACGGATATAAAAAATGGGACAGCGAATTTCAAACTGTGTGAAAAAGTAACTTAAATAAGCGGGAATACAATCAACAAAAACGTTAATATTTTCGCCATCAAATGTGTGTGACGCAAGAATTAGGACGCGCAAAGGTTGTTCTTAAAATACCTAAAAACTGAATACTGGTTATAACATATAAATAATAATAACATTATTATTTAAAAAAAAATTGTCTTTTTGTTGTGGTCGGAAAATTTTCTATTTAACACAAAAAGTATTAAATTTATAGATTATATCGATATTTTTATGTGATATTTATATTTTTGTTTTTGAAAAAAATAAATTATCATCGATACGATGCTTTTCAAAAATGTCGACAACCCTGTTAGCCCAGAATTAATTAACAAAAACGAGAGAACTTAATCGTAACCTAACTCGCACAGATCACGGCCGTTAGTTGGAATCAATGTTGCATTGTTAACTTATAATCACAATAAGGACCGTTATGGTTGAGGGCCGCAGTTTCCGAAATCTGACTTTATTTATTCAAATAAATATATTTATCGAAAGTCAAGTCATTGTTTATGATAAATTAGAATCAATATCTGACTATCGAATGTGTTTATCAATTTAATCATAATTATGCACAAACCTTACAATTAGCCATTATCTAGGGCGCGGCAACTTTTGAAACGTCAGCTGCGAGGGTATCCCCTAGATATATTAGTTTCCGAGATCTCAGCGTACACACAGAGTTTTTTGATGAACTTGTCTAGAGAAATTTCTCTATGTACTTGTATATAGTTCAAGTTTTCGGGAATGCTTTTATTAATCTTTTGCATTATACAATTCAATTCAACTCAAATCCATACAGACTTTTACATTGCGAACGTACTGACGTACTTTGAACCCCCAGAGCCAGATGTTTAATAAATGTCACTGATATTCACTAGCATTATCAAACCGCAAGTGCTCTTAATCTACATTTGATTTAACCATGACCTTTTGTCCGTATTTTTTGTAAAAATGTCTGAGCATCGCACGTTTGTTATAGTTTAAATATAACACCCGTGAATAAAATACTACCTCTTAGTAACACAACAAATAGCGCTAGAAGCAGCGAAAGTTTTGATAGCATAATTATTTTAAAATAGAGTAACAGAGTTACCAAATGAACAAAAAGTTTATTTCTTTCGTTTAAGAAAAAACAAGACCAAAGGAAAGAAATTTTTTTAATATTTAAAGTATGAAATTATTGTCTTTTAAAAATCAATAAAACGTCAGATAAACCCTTACATTATTTTTGGTCAGCATTCCGGTTTATGACCGTCGGAAGCGTTTGTTAAAATATACATACATTGGTTTTTACAAAAATTTGCTTAAAAACTGCAAAATAATAAAAGTTCGGCATTCAGAAAGTAACTTCCCTTCTCGTTGTATAAAAATTTCGAAAATATGTTTAATTATTTTGGGGTTGTTGTATCGAAAATGTTTCCTACATTGCTAACAGTTCGGGGTTTGAAAACATTTAATCTCAGCCCACTTAGTTCTTGTCTGGTTTAATAATTTATAATAATATGTAAAATAAGGGGTTTAAAAATCTTTATTAAATTGAAAAAGCTAATTACATGAAAAGCTATCTGCCATAAGCTACCTAAAATGTATACATATATCTTGTATATTATTAAGTTACGGATTTAGAAAATCTATCACCCAAACACTTAGATTGTCGGTGCAATTATTGTTCAAATGCTTTCATTTATGGCTCTCGAAATTTCAACACGACACCCCAAAAAAAAATCGTAGTCCGCCTATGGTTCATGCATAAAAACACATATTTGGTACTAACCACGAAAGCAGAATCGCCATGAAGGCGATGCTGGAGGCGCACGTCGGGTAGCTGGACAGGAAGAGACCGTGCTTGTAGTAGAAATGCGAAACAGAGGCGGGCAGTCCAGCAGAGGAGGCTGATTCGACGGCCACTCCCGCTGCTCCCCCCGGAGCTTTGGACGAAGAAGAAGATCCGGGCGGCTTGCCGGTGAGACCGCTGCCGTTGGATGCTGTTGTTCGTGGTAACGTCGACGCCGCAGCAGCGGCCGCTCTGGCAGAGCCATCTGTTGCGGCGGCCATGTTATTGTTGTTGGCGGCACAGAACTTACACTTACGAACGGGGACAGTCACTCACACATACGCACGCACGCTAGAGAGGAGACTCTGCCCACGAACTTTGTTCTAACGTTTTAGCGGCGAAATACGAGTTAGCTGTTGGGTGTTTTTGCGCGTATTCGGATTGGGATTCGCACATTTGGTTGCGGCAGTTACGCAACTTGACGTTTGCAACGCATCATCTACGTAGGCGACGCAGCGGCCTCCTGATATTTCTATTGCGATATTATTTTTGTTTATTAATAGCACCAAATCAACTTTTGCTGGCGGTTGTTTTTGCTTAGATCTGGGTTTCGGATTGCGCTTGGGCCTGGGCCGTATATTGATACATGGTTACCGGTGATTTGCATTATATTCCTATTGATTTTTCTTTTTCTTGCGCTTCATTCGCACCTTTTGGCCCCACGTTATTTACGCCGTGCGGTTGTTGTTGGGTGCAATTAAATGACGTTTTCGCGCATCTTCGGCGCTCACTAACTCACACACTTGCGCTCCAACATATAGGCTATTCTTATGAAAATCTGCGACGTAAACGTTGCTGTCGCCGCGCACTGCTAACTTAGGTGCAATTGAATTTGAAGCGCAGTTGCCGCCGCCACTTATTGTTATCAAATTAATATTCACAGATCCCGAAAAACGAATATTTCACCGAATGGGTTACTTTTCTCGGGCGGATGTGTCGTATTTCAGCGCAGGGGTGAAGGAAACAGAACGCAATGTTCCAGACCACTCTGACCAGAACAGGTACAAGGTAACGAGATAAGACTAGATCAAAGACTTTTAGTAACTTTATCTAACTTAGCACCAAGCACGTTTTTTAATTCCGCCAAACAGTAAAATTCGATGCGCGACTCGCCGTCACTCATGTTAGAACAAAATGCTCACTCGCCGTGAGTCAGCATAAGCGAACTAGTTCGCGGCCGAACCAAAACAATGAACAGCTGAGTCTGAGTTTGCATAGAGGGTGTATCACTGTCAGGAAACTGATCTGGTTCATTTAAAATTAAAATAAAAACTAAGGCAACGTTTTATATTTAAACTGTTTATCATTAACTTGGTAGCAGCTGTCTGGTTCACCAGCTTATTAGCTTTCAGCTTTTTTTTATCAGTGCTGCCAGATCATACGCGCTCCAGAGTCGCTCAACCGTTACCGGCAGATTTTATTTTTAAATTAATTTCCTTTTCTCTATGGGCTTACAATTTAGGAAATGTACACTATTAATAATTGCAGTGTCGAAACTCTTGGCTCACCATCAAAAATTGATTTGTATTGAACAATTATATATGTAACTATTAAAATTTTTTTTTTTTTGGTTTGTTTAGAAGTATAACCTCGATGAGCATGAAATTTGCCTTAATTATTATTATCTACACGCCTTTGTTCAAGACATTCAGCTTTCAGTTCTCACATGAAATTTTTCGTGTTTCAGTAAAATTGGGCTACCCGGCTATCTGCAACTGAAATTGCCATAAGTTATTCGTTAATTGACAGGCGCAGTGATAGGCGCTGTAGGTACTAGTCGATCTTGGTTGTCGGCATAGTGTATTCGGCTGATAGTGACGCCATCTCGCCAGCATTATGTGCATGTCCTTCGTCGTCCGCGTCCTGGTCGGTAAATCGGTGCCGCATGAGCGCTTCCCCTTGCGTGGTGTACTCTGCCGGTGTCAATTGTTGGTACTGAGGCGCCACCTCGTTTCTCGCTTCCGACTGGCCGTTTAAGCCAGTAATGCTCTTACCCCGGCGGCCAAATAGCAGCACCGTCCCCTTGCTCAACAGCGGGCACAGCAGTATCTGGTGGCAACAGGCGAACAGCCGGTAGTTTGAGCCTTGGAACGGATCCGACATCGCAGCACAAAGCATATGGTCCAGATTGATGCCAGTGAACTATGAAGACAAAATTGGTGTCAGTGCCAAAAAATAAAGACCGATTATTATACCCGTTGGGATAAAACAAACAGATTCTTGAGATGCCTACACAGCGAAAGTTTCTTTCACCATCTTGCCAGGCCTACAAATCAAAACTAAAATCGCGGAGATCTTAGGAAATATGAAAGCTAGAAAGGTGGGACCATTATATGACCACAACCCACAGAAAACTGTGCCGTCCATAACATTAACCTTGTAAAAAATCTACCAAAACCTCTTCAAATCGGGAAACTATTTCGCGAATTATTAAGAAATTTTGGTTAAAAGGCCTAATGGACAGTTACATCATGAGTTATTAAACATGCGTTTTCGGACAAAAAGGTGGCGATGCTTCAATTTTTGCTAGCAAAAGGATTATTTTAAAATTGGATAGGATTCGCGGCACTAGACTATAGCGATTCTTTTTGTCTTCTTTTTTGGATCAAGTTGATCTGGAAACATCTAAGTAGGCTGTTCTATAGTTTTAGGTTCAAGATAACTTACAATGGAGAGCGGGGATAGCAGGACAAAGTGGTAAAACAGCATAAAGGCTGTACCTATGTGAGACCAATGGAATTCACTGAGGTCCTCCACAGTGTACACTCCTAAAAAAGAAAAGAAAAGCAAGTTACGCTAAAAGTAAACAGAGACCGTCTCCTTGTTACCACTCCGAATGATGTAAATCGGTATTATATAGAGAAGTGCGTGCTGGATCCAATAAGTGGCCTGCTCAAAAGGATAGGTACGTCCCTCAACCTCGGGGAAAAGAAAAGCCAGAAACGGCCCGTTGAGGTTGCTCATCTGTATCCGAAATAGCGCTGTTGTGGTCTTTGTGGGCTTGGCGGCCAGGAGAAAGATCTATAAGAATTACACATAACAATAATATTTGTATTGCATTCGTAATGCATGTTAACCTGCAGACAGGATTGCACGTGACATGGATTCAGGGCGAATATCATCGACTGCCCGGAGAGTTTAAAGCCCATCTCAATGCCAAAAACCATGGACAATGCGATGAGGAGAAACAGTCTTGTAGGACTGTGTGGCTTTTGAATCTCACAAAGCGGCGGAAGCTTAATTGGCGCCAGGCGTTGCCAAGAACGGTGCATTATAAAGATGAAAAGGGCGGACAACAGCACCGTTTCCACCCAGCGTCGTCGGTTTGACATGTAATTGATGCACTCTGGCCCTGTCGTTCTGGGAATCTCATCGGAAATACCTCCGATCGCCCAGTCCCAGTTCCATTCCATTATTGCGCTGTTATTCTGCAGCCGCAATAGCTAATGACAACTTTTGTTATTATGTCCTGAAAAAAAATAGTTGCTATGATGAAGTAATGGTAAATAAATTGCTATAAATCAAAACCAACCAAATATCTCTAATTAATATTTAAAACTCATGTGATTGCGTGCTCTCTAAGCTTTGGTACGGAGATAAGTCTAAGTTAGACACCGATTTAATGAAAAATCATTAGTGAAATTAATTTACTGAATTTGGAAATATTTGGAAACAAAAGGAATTATATAGGAATTTGGTGTTCTTTTAACGGAAAAATAGTTCTATTTTCCAAAAAAAAAATCGATAAGGTAGTTTTAATGTTAGTAGGTGGAAGTATACCATACTATATATAGATATGCTTTTTAAATTTCGTGAAAAAAAGTTTAATTCGCCAAATAGGCAGTGTTGTCCTCACAGTGGGTGCTGTTGAATATAGTTAACCAAGAGGGTGCAGTATCAGGGGTCCGAAGGGGCTCGAACGGGTCTTTTGGTGCAAGCAACCCAGCAAAAAGCAATGAAATATAAAATCATGTCAGCGTTGACAGTTGCCGCAGCTGTCCTTTGGTAATTTACCGAGAGCCAAAATACAAAAGCGGAAAGGCCGAGACTTGTAGACACTTTGAGCGCCTGTCCGCAAGCAGCCTATGAATAATGTCAGATCAGTCCACACAGTCATGACGTGAAGGTGCGGGACTATAAAAAGAAACCAAGCAGAGTAGCGGCCGAACAGCCGTTGACATTGTGCTTTTCACTGTCAAGAGCACGACGGATAGGGTTGCTTACACCCAAGGACTGCCTTGGCTCTTAATAAAAAAAGAAACTCAAACAGAGGGGGTTATTAGGGACCGGAATTAAACCATTTTGATCAAACAGCACTTGCAGGAAGTAAAAGAACAAGGCGGGAGAATATTGATTTGGTTTTACCCATATTCAAGGAGAACTATTAATAAATATGTACATAAGACTCAACGGAAGCCTTCAATTTTCTTTTGAGTGTGTCAGAATTGAAGAACCGTATTTTGAATCATCAATTTCTTCTTTGGTATTTGGGCCTTCAACTCTTGTTCGTTAGTTACCAGTTAACGGCATTAACAAAATATAAAAGCCTGATAGCGTCGCCGTCTAGCGCCCCTGAATTCGATTTTTCCATACGTTACCTATAGGTCCTTCGCCTGAAAATGGCACGTGGCCTGTTGCAATGCTTGCTTGATTCCGCTCCAATCACCGACGCACTTTCGACATTATCTAACGACAGTGAAAACCGGGTCTATCGCACATTCTGTGTTCCTTCTGTTCTTCTTTAATCACACTTCGCTTGCATATCTGCATTAAGTATGCAAATTGTGGGAGGCACAGAGCGACGTTTTTGCAGGGCGACTGGCTGCGGGCGATTGAGGGTTTCAGTTGCGTTGCCTCGCATTGTCCTTCGTCGAGCTTTCACTTTCCTGCTCTCGGCGCAAGCGCTTTTAACCTTTTCCTCTCTCTTCCTCGTTCTCTGTGATAGTGTGCGCCAAAACATTGTACTGGCTACTTTGGGTGAAGGGGTGCAACATATGATATTCATACGCCGCGTACACGTACGTACATATGTATGTATGAATGTCATCATTTGTGGGAGTGATTTCAAACTGTGTAGTCGCAAATTGGATTAGCAATAGACGATGGTCGAGGGGTTGAGTAACCACAAAAGATAATGGCGGTGCTGTCAGGCGAATATAATTACCGAAATTTATGCAGAAAGGCTTAGAAGTTATTAAGGAATACAACTACTTGCACAAAAAATACTAAAACTAAAAAGAAACCTTTAATATTTAGTGCCAAAAAAACGAATACTTTTTTTCTATGTATTGGAGCTCGTTTTTTAATTTTTTTTTACATTTTAAATGTTAAAATAGTGTTTAATTTGAAATAAAAACTGAAATTATCCTTTTTTTACTCTTTTATTAAGAAAAACATGAATTTAGTCATGTAGTACCTCGCAACAAATACTATTTGACTAACTGTAAGTTCCTTATAATGGTTAGAATGTATTTAATATTTTCATACATATTTTCAAATGATTAGACATACCATTGCATACATTTGTATTAACATACATAGGTATGTAAACATAAATTTACATATGTATATCTCGACAAGCAGATAAACGTAACTGTATTTAACAGGAATTGGCGAAACAATCAACATAGCCGAAAAAAAGGACAATCCAAAGAACAATTAATAGGCCGAGAATTTTAAATTAAAATAAATTAGTTTAACCCGAGTCTAGAAATTAAACGTTGTAAATTCTAAAGCTTTCCTGCTTTACAAGAAAACGGGCGAAAATGTAAAAAGATAAATCATATTCTTATTGTACCTTGAATTTTTTTACCCAGAGCCTTCTTTTGCTAATAAAAGAAAGTCATATTTGTTTATCACAAATATACCATTTTTTAATATATTCATTTCTGCATTACAAACTTTAAAAATAATTATAATAAAACATATTTAGCTTGTGAACTATCGTAAAAATTCTTTTCATATTAGCACTTGTTTTTAAACAATCGTGTTGCATATGCATCTTGTGTCGTAGAAAAGAAAATTAAATGAATACAAATAAATAATAAAAATGAAACGAAAGCTCAAATTATCTAAGTATTAGATAACAATTTGTTTTACAGGATATAAGTTCGATCTAAATACATATGTATGTAGGCATTTTTTATCTGCAAATGTTCATTCCCGACCAAACCAGCTTTTAAATTTACTGTTCCTTACACAGATGATTGTTATGTAACATTTTTTCCGTTACGTTAAATTTTTTGACCATCGGAGTGTGACCAGACGACGCAGTTTCTAGGTAAATTGATGGTTTTTGCTTGCGACCACACTCGAATTAACTAAAATAGAAATAATAGTTTATGACTCAGAATTTAGGCTGTTTGGTTCTTTCACAGCCATTATTCATCACCATCTAATGTGTAATGTTGATTAGGCTCCCGGTCAACTAAGCCGTAGTTGAAATCAATCACTTTTTGGAGCAGCTGCTAAACGACGAAACAAAGGCGTGTGGAAGTGTGTGACCCAAGTGTACTTGAGTGGGCGCCGAATAAACTACAAAAACAAACAAGCGATGGTGGGAATTATCGATGAAGCGCAGCTGTTTTATCCGTTAGGAACTCGCATCAAGATAGCGGACAACTATGGCACAGTGCGGTATGTAGGAGAGGTAAGCAAAATGAGATTTTCGCAGGATCCTTGGATAATCCCGATATGATATTCCTGATACAGGTAAGCGGTCACATGGGATCCTGGCTGGGCATTGAGTGGGACGATGGGCAGCGTGGCAAGCATAATGGAATTGTAGACGGTAAGCGCTTCTTTCAGACGCAGACTCCAACAGCTGGCAGCTTTATCCGTCCTGGCAAGGTGGGACCTTGCGCCACTCTAGAGGACGCTGCACGGGAGCGGTACCTGAACTACGACTCAAGCAACGTGGACGAGTCTCTCATCCGCGAGGCTCAGGCCAGTCTGCAGGCGTCGCTCTTCGAGGTCGTGGGAATGGATAAAATCGCTCGCAAGCAGAGCAAATTTGAGCAGCTGGCGGAGGTGAGCGTTGAGCAGACGTCGGTAAACGCAGCCGGGTACCTAAAGGAATTGACTCATTTGACCACGCTGAACGTCAGTCACACCTTGATCTGGAATTGGGAGATCGTGGCCAGCATTGCGCAGCAGCTGCCCTCCCTGAATAGCCTGGACCTAAGGTGAGTGGGGTACCAGCCATAATCTATTGATACCTAATGACATTTGCCAAACCTCTTAGCTCCAACCGACTGGTTCTACCCTTGGCATCCCAAATCACAGATCTAGAACCTGCCTTCCGGCAACTAAAGCGCATTAACCTTGGCAGCTGTGGATTCACGAACTGGAAGGATGTGATGCAAACTGCGCTGCTCTGGCCAAATATTTTGTCTCTGGGATTGCAAGATAACTCTTTCGGTCACCTGGACGAGGTCGATGGGAAGATTATCTTTAAGCGGCTTCAGGAGCTCTACTTGCATCGCACAAATATAATGGATTTTGACCAGGTTGCGAAGTTGGGAAAACTGACGACGTTGCGATTGTTAAATCTCATGGAGAACGGTATCGAGGAGATAAGACTTCTCGACTGTGATCCACAAGAAAAGCTTAATATTTTTGTTTCTCTGGAGCAGTTGAACCTTCTTCACAATCCTATTTGGAATGAAGTATGTAGTTATATATTTGGCTATTACAATAAATAATAATATAATTATGAATTCTGCGCAGGCTGATACGTTCAACGAGCTAGACAAGCTGCCCAAGCTAAAACGCCTTAGTAAGACTCCACACTTAAAGTCAAATTTTGATGAAATGGTCTCGAAAGCTGTGGCTAGCATAGCCGGGCTACAATTCTTAAACAATGCCGAGATTTCACCAGAAAAAAGACGCGGTGCGGAATACGACATTTGGAAGAAGTATGCACTGGACTGGATGCAGGCGACGAACCAAGGATCGGATAGCTTACGGGAGTTCTGTCGAAAACATCGCACTTACCCATTGCTGATTACAAGTATGCAGTTGTGCTTCCAGTTGATTTAGAAATGATGGATTTTTTTTTACAGAGTATGGTTCTCCGGTAGACTTTATACCGCGCAGCCAAGCAAAGCAATCGAACCTAATTAATATTTGCATACGGCATCAGTTGACGGGCGAGACCTGGGAGAAAAAAGTTCCACGAATGATTACTGTACAGACTCTGCAGGGTCTGGTTATTAAGCGATTTCGGCTAAGCGGTAATGTGCCTCAGCTGTCCTATGTTGATGCCCGGCATCCAGATCTAGTTGTTCCTCTAGACAACAATGCAAAAACGCTGGACTTTTATTCTGTACAGGAGCATGACACGGTTTTGGTTCGATAAGGTCCCGTAATTCGACCTTGCATACAATCCCTTATCCGTATTCAGAATTGGTATTTTAGTTTTAGGCAATCAAAACTCCAAATTTCATTGTTCGATTTTATTTTTTTACCCTACTACCTATTAAAAATAATAATTATATTTTTTAGGTGCTAATAAGATTAAATTTCCACTAAGTAATTAAACACAAGGATAATTATATTTGGGTTTGTTTTAAAAAACACCTTTCCTTACCAAAAACGTTATTATACCCGTTACTCGTAGAGTAAAAGGGTATACTAGATTCGTTGAAAAGTATGTAACAGATAGAAGGAAGCTTTTGCGACCCTATAAAGTATATATATTCTTGATCAGGATCAATAGCGAAGTCGATTGAGCCATGTCCGTCTGTCCGTCCGTCCGTCCGTCCGTCCGTCCGTATGAACGCTGAGATCTCAGGAACTATAGCAGATACAAAGTTGAGATTAAGCATGAAGATTCTTGAGGTCCCGGGACAGCGCAAGTTTATTACAGCATCCTGCCACGCCCACAAGGCTCAAAAGACGGTTTTCGGATTTTCTAGAAAAGCTGATATCTCGGTAACTATTAAAGATAGAATGTTCGTATTAAGCATGTAGGGTTTTATGATGCTCCCAATGTGAATTGGTTTTCTCCGATCAAACCACGCCCACTCTAACGCCCACAAAACCCGAAAAACCAAAAATGGAAAAATATCGAAAACTATAAAAGCTACACAAAAAGCTTCTACAACTTGCCACGAAGTTGCATCCGACCACGCCCACTCTAACGCCCACAAACCGCGGAAAACTGTGGCGTTTATAATATTTTTATGAATGCCTTCGTTTGACCTTGTATAACTTATTTCTGTTAATATCTATCGATTTACCAAAGATTTTTCAAATCGGAACATTATTTTGCTATTTATAAAGAAATTAAGGTTATAAGGCCTCACATGGCCAGTGACGTCACTATAAGCGTACTCAACATACTTCCTCTGACAATAGGTGGCGCCTTGTGAATTTCCACTAGCAAAATAATATTTTAAAATTTTGTAAAACAGTAACGGGTATCTTATAGTCGCGGCACTCGACTATAGCGTTTCCTCTTGTTTTTGAATTCGATCGTTATTATGGGATATACATTTTCGTAGACGACCTGCAATATATCTAATATATATTGCTGTTGTGGAAAACCTAATAAAAAAACGAAGTAAGTTGGCCATTAAATGACTGATGAATTTAACATGCAGCTATTTTTATTGAGAATTGTTATTGGGCCTTCAAATTAATTTTAAATTACTAATAATGAATTAAGTGAAATAATTTTTAAAGACAACGGTTATTGGTGAGGTTAACATACATACGTGAGCTCGTCGTTCTGGTTTCCTGCTCTACAATTCATTCATAGATGAAGGCAACTGTCGACCTGCTATGAGGTGGATATCGTCGTCAATAGGGCAAGTATTTGCATAATTCGGATCCAATTGTCGCTTAATATTAGCATGAAAAGAAAAACTTTTGGAATTAATTGTCGACAGATTTAAAGTTACTGATGTAACAAAAGGCGCAGCGCCCACGAGGTTGTTTACGACAAGCAGACCATGCATTATTAATGAGCCCACGGCGCGTGGCCAAGGAGATAAATATGCTCGTATGGGGCTCGTATGGGGCTGCGTTATTTCCTTGCTTCTTTCTTTTTGGACTTGTCAAGTGCATTTAATAACATCTCTGTATGGAAATTGTCTCCCTCATCGTCGTGGGCAACATATATCTTAATCTCGATGATTAATTAAAGCCATGCGATACAAGTTTGCCCATTGAACAACAACTACAAACACACATACTTAAATGGGGAATGAGGGAAGTTACATTTATATGTACACTGAAAAATAAAAAGTATTGACAATAATAAATTGCTTCAGAATAAAGATAAGTAAAAGTGTAAAATATACAAGTTAGAAATTTGTAGTTGTTCGATACTCTGGTACAAAGTTGTTAAAAAAACAGATTTTCAATTTATTTTCAATATGAACTTGTTCTTCCAATAAGTCTGTAGTCAAAAATATTTTATAGTTTCAGAAGAAACGCAGTAATTCAGTGTCTTGACTAACAGATACCAATTTTAAAATAATAATTTTCCAGTAGGGGAAAATTTTACTAAGGTTTTTAACGGTTGATTATATATGTTGATTATGCTGTTGCTGCAAATATGGTAGTAGCATAAAAATATTTGTTCTTTCCTGTAATATAATATTATATATGATTCTATTCGCAGTTATTCACATTGTAATTGTACTACAGACACAGAATAGTAAAGATCATACCTTTAATAAGTCCTCAAACACTTCCTCACTGCCCGAAGGATTATTATTTAAAGTTTTCTATTCTATTCTATTCTATTCTATTAAAGTTTTCTATTTAAGTAATAAGTTATGTAATAATAAGGATACACGCCAATTACACACTCGTATTATATACACGCTGTGAATATAATTGGAAAAGGGAGTAAACAGAAGACAGGACCCACTGTTTAATATTCATTGAAACACGTTCGGGCATAATAAATACCCAAATGAGATTTATTTGATACACACCCAATTTATACATTAGCGAATTCAATTTGTGGCCACAAAGTGAATTGTGAATGTGAAATGACAGATCAAATTTTGTAGGCTAATCTGCAGGGTCATTTAGCGTCAGGCCGTAATTTAATTTCGATGAGTTGAAAATGTAACAATTACGTATGGGTAATTAGGTTTGTCCGCTTTTGTGCAGGGGACTTTAAAGGTTGCACTGCCCATGGGCTTGTAAGCTCATCGCCGTTGGCTGGGCAAATGTTTATTCCTGGGATTGAGGTCAAAAACATTTAACCAGGTGCATCTGGTCAAATACATTTGTAGTTATGTATGGTGTTACCCAAGAGCCTATAAATTCGATTTGAACGATCAGATCGTCATCTTCCTCGCTTCAATTAGCAACCATGGATATCTCAGTGCTGTGGCTTTATATGCTCCTCGTGTCCGTACTGGTCATCATCTTGGTACCCACTGCCGAGTCCACCTTTCTTCTATGGGCTTGCTTATACCGTCTGGAGATCTGTCCTTTTAAGACCACCACCACTGCGGCCCGCTAATTTGTATTTCAATATCGTTAAACATCCACTGTTAAATTAACCCATAGCTAAACTTACACTGCCACAAATAAATAGAAGCCCTCTTCGAAGTCAAATTTCATGACATTTTCGCTCCGCCTATCCCGTTTCCTTTGCGTTTTGCCTGGCCTGCTGCTTGACTAAGAGGCAAAGTTTCCTGGCAAATGCAAAGTTTGTCATTAGTTACTTGCACTAATTAAGTGTAAACCTCGCTGAACGGTGGCTTTCACTTTTGTCGCTGTCAGTACGTGTCCTGGTTTCTTAATTCCAGAATGGAATTCCTTTCCAAATCTGCGAGTCATTTGAGTGGACTGACGTTGACGTATTAAGTTTACTTACCCCCAACATTAATTTCAGATGTAACTCTAACGCAGAAGCTATTAGCTCTGTTCCTCTTTCCACTGATTTGAACAACAATATGGTTAAAATTGCACGTTACTTATTCTTATGTGGCAATACAAATCGATTTCCTAAATCTTTTTTAAATCGAACAAATACTACTCAGAGGTCAGTTTCTGCTTGCATTATAATACGGAAAAAATTTCTGATATTCTTGTTTTTACAACCGTTTATATCAAAGAGTTAGAAAACATACCATATTTAAAAATCTTATTATCCACAAAAATTTGAGCTATTCGTATGCGAAACACAGAAAACCGCAGGCTGTTGACCTGCCTGCCCAATTCCCGAAGAGCGGTTTTTTATAAAAAATGAAATTTAATTTACAAAACGATGGGCGCCTCAGGCGATTCAATTAATGCGAAAAAGGAGTCAAACGAAAATCAATGGAATCTGCTTAGTGGAGTTTGAAGGGATTGTTTGAGGCCAAGTCGATTCCAGCCAATTGGCATTTAATTTGCATGGAGCGATGAATAACGGCATGTAACCAACGATAGACAGAAAATAAAGCCCTTCAGACCTTGCAGGTGGGCCGGCCACCAGTCAGGACTTCGTCCCCTTTCAAAGGATAACATTTTTGCTGACCGTTGTTGGGCTTAAGCCACAGGCCGCCAACCGATTTAGCTTGGAACAGGGAGCACCAAAGAAGCAGCTTCACTCTAAGTTAAAGAGACTGTCTGATGATCATTAATCGCTCATTCCTAAGGACGATGACTTACAGATTCCTTAGGAAGAACTTATACTCCTGATAAGCGGCTGTCCAATAAATAATAATAATAAAAATTTGATATTGGGACTTTTGTTTGTTGAAGATGAGATCGTCAGAACTCATATACCCTGTTAAGATTTTCACTTCATTTCACATTAATTACATGAATTTTAGATTTATTATTAATGATACTTTTAGAGTTACAGCGTATAATGTATTCGTTGAAAAGTTCAACAATTAGAGCTAGAATTTTGGATCTTAAATAACATTATATCACAATGTATTAACACATTAAAATTTAGTTAATTAAGCTACTTTTATCTAAGAAAATATGTCGCTAGTAGATTGTTTACTAGGCCGATCTTTGCTAGCAAAAATATTATTTTATAAATTAACACTGAACTCACTGTTTTTCAGTAGTACCAGGGTTCCATATCCATTGATTTTTATATGACCTCTACGACTTAGAAAGCCGTTAATGAATGTAAATATAGGTAAGCTTTAGTCGATTGCCGCGACTATAAGATACCCGTTACGGTTTTACACAATTGTAAAATAATCATTTTGCAAGTGGAAATGGACAAAGCCACCATTTGTCAAAAGAGAATGGTAACTGATGGTAGCCTACATTTATTCATATATAGCGAAATAATATTCCGATTTGAAAAGTCTTTGGTAGATCGATAGATATTAACAAAAAGTGTTATACAAGGTCAATCAAATATTAAGGACGCCACAGTTTTCCGCGGTTTGTGGGCATTAGATTGGGAGTGGCCAAGTGAAATCTGCAGCGGCATCTCTAAAATACGAATTCCTAAGCCTAACTTTCTAGCTCTTATAGTTCCCCAGATTTTAGCATTTTGGGTTTTCTGTGTTTTTCCTATCACTTATAGTTACCGAAATATCAACCTTTCTATAAAAAGCGAAACCCGTCTTTCTAGCTTTGTGGGCGTAAGAGTGGGTGTGATCTCAAGATTATTCCAACTTTCTAACGGACATACATCCATTAAAATTGATTTCAGCTTGATACTGGATTTTACATCATGAACTGCGTGCTTTACATGGCTTTTCAAGCATCGTAGAAACACTCTCGGTTTTTTAATTTCATGGTGACAAAAGGAAGAAATCGATGTAAAGCCAACTTTAAGTGTTTGAAAAGGTGTTAAAATCCGAAGTGTGCAGTAGGAACTTGTTTAGGGGCGACACAATGTTGCAAACAGTCGTCGCCAACTCGTGTCAAAGTTTCCGCACTCACTAAACCACTTTTTTCTTGTCTTGTCATTGATGGGCAGACGAGACAGGGGCCTGAACCACGGGAGAACACACACTTGCCCCTGCGAGCTGTGTTTGACTTTCCCAGATTGTAATTCAAATTTACTGAGTGCAAACAGTAGGGAGATGGCAATTAATTAAATATCACTCATACGTCAGTGCGGCTCGCCTGGGAGCTACGGCAACCGTCAGTTGGCCAAACAATCGCGGGAAACACGTGGGTTCACCGTGCAAATGCGTAATGGGATTGAAGCGTGCCTGAATTAAAGAAGACTTGAAGGATTTGAAGGCGTAGGTCGGAATTTTAAACTCAAAGCCACAATTGATTGAGTTTCGTTTACCGAAATAGATTTTCAGCAAAGTTGCGCTGAGTGAAACAGTCTGTAAACAAATCGAAAGGAATGGAAACTAGACAAAAAAGTTTCCTTCTAACTGAATTGTCGATGCAGATCCGTTCCTTAAAGTATTCTCTAAAAACCCCTTCCCTCGGTTTCAACAGTCGTTTAAACAGTTCACAGCTAATGAAGTTGGCCGTGGTCAGATATATTTTTATAATGCATAATCGTATTTATTGGATGTGGAATAGGGCAACACAAGAAGTTACTCTATCATCCGGACGAGGTCGTGTTGTATGGACAGTATGGTGACCTCAACAGGCACGCCAGCAGGATGAAGCAACCGTCTGCCGAGGGAGACAGGAACGCCATGAGAATGGCCAAAAGCACCAGGTAAAAACAAACCGTTGTGGCAATCATCTCTGCTGATCTTCGCTTTGAACTCAAGGGCCGAGAGATTAATCTCCTGGTTTTATATACCAGCCCTCGTAACTGCAGCTGTCGAATGGTAAACAGTTAAAAGGTGTTGATCTTTACTTAGTCACTGTTTTCTAGCGAAAATTGTACATATTTGTGATGATATTTATACCCGTTACTCGTAGAGTGAAAGGGTATACTAGATTTGTTGAAAAGTATGTAACAGGTAGAAGGAAGCGTTTCCCACCCCCAAATATAGTATATATATTCTTGATCAGGATCTATAGCAAAGTCGATTGAGCCATGTCCGTCTGTCCGTCTGTCCGTATGAACACTGAGATCTCAGGAACTATAAGAGATACAAAGTTGAGATTAACCATGAAGATTCTTGAGGTCCCTACGCAGCGCCCACAAATCCGAAAAACTAAAATCGCTGAAATATCAGGAACTATTAGAACTAGAAAGTTCAACTTCAGTATGTATAATCTTTAGATCACCCACCCATACGCCCACAAAGCTCAAAATACGGTGTTCGCATTTTTTAGAAAAGCTGATATTTCGATAATTATAAGAGATAGAAAGTTCTATAGAAAGGTTTTAATGATGCTCACAATGCGAATTGTTTTTTCCGATCAAATCACGCCAACTCTAACGCCCACAAAACGCGAAAAACCAAAAATGCAAAAATCTCGGAAACTATAAGGGCTACAAAGTTGTGCTTTAGAATACGTATTTAAGAGATGCCGCTGCAACTTGCCACTCATCCGGCCACGCCCACTCTAACGCCCACAAACCGAGGAACTGTGACGTCTATAATATTATTATGAATGCCTTTGTTTGACCTTATATATGTAACTTATTTCTGTCAATCTCTATCGATTTACCATAGAATTTTCAAATCGGAACATTTTTTCGCTAGGAAGAAATTTAGGTTATAAGGCCTCACATGGGCAGTGACGTCACTATCAGTTACTCAACATGCTTTAAAATTGTGTAAACCAGTAACGGGTATCTTATAGTCGCGGTACTCGACTATAGCGTTTCATCTTGTTATACTTACAAATGTCTTACCTAATTCGTATGTTCATTTGTAAATATCCGCGTTTGTCTAGAGAATTGACTTGCTTTATTAACTTCTTTGACTAGTTTTAGCCCTTTAATGCCCCACTTTGCTTTAGCTATTAAACTCTAAGTGATGACCAAGGGTAAATCCAATTTCAACTTAATGGCTCCCGGAAGGGATATTTATTTATTTTTAATCAGATATTTTTTAAAGTCCACTTTAAAAAGCTGTTTTGAATCAAGCGAGACAACGATGTGAAATCTTCCCAAAATACGGAGATACAAAACAAAGCTCAAAATAGCAGCTATAAATAAAAATAAATCATTATAAATATGCAGAAGTCAATGTTGTACTGAAAAATTGTTTGTAGAAAACAAATTCCTATTGAGAGCGAATATATACGCAGCCTCATGAATGAAATTCGCGACGGAGCACCAGCAACAGATGGCCGCCAAAAGGGAAGGGTCGGGCAGTTCCATGAAAATTCACAAAGCATCTTCGACAGTGATTATTTTCAAGTGGTGACCAGCACATGCGCAGTGTCGTACACATGGTGGACTCCGTTGGAAATTCGTTGCTTTCGGGCTTGGCGCGTGTGGATCCCATTGATGTCGCAGACTTTGGCGCCGGTTCTCCCGACATCGCCGAGTTAGTCCTGTGCACGGATTCAGCAGAAACGGTCGAGGTCGCTCGCTAGTCCTACACCACCCCGGTCGTGAAACGGGATTTAAAACCCGAGTAGGAACCAAATAAACCGCAGTCCGAACTCGCTCAGAGTTCTATTAAAGCGCGCTGACCGTTGGTCATTTTTGCTGGTTGAGCTGCCAAATTTAAAAGTTTCCCCGCGTTTGGTTGAGTTTCAAATATTTGTGGAAAACATTGTGACGAGTAGCTGCCTCTGCTTTTGATTTACAAACAAACAAAATTTAGTCAAGTGCTAAAAAAAGCGGAACAATTGCAGTTGACTGATGTAAAGTGGCACCGTCTGCTGCTTTGTATTCCCGCATTATTTACAGTTAAGCAGCTACTGACATTCCCTTTGGTAAGTATTTGGGCATAGATAGGTGTGCCAATATCTGAGAAAGTATCTGACTGATGAGTCAGAGACTTGCAGGCTATCCAAAATTTGAAAAATATATGTGTTATTTCCCGTCAATTATCACCTATCTGGGTCAGGTTCTCATCAAATTCCAAATTCCATCAACCCCGTCCGTTCAAAATACCCTGTCTAAACTTTTCCCCATCTTGCCAGTAATTATAAATTATTTATTTTTTTAGGGGGGAACAAAAACTCGTTGTTTGAATGCGAAAAAGTTTGACGAAATTAATTAAAGCACGTCAGAATGTGTCGTTATTTGAGGAATCTGAGTTTAATTTTTATACCCCTTACTCGTAGAGTAAAAGGGATTATTTGATTCGTTGAAAAGTATGTAACGGCTAGATTAAGCCATGTCGGTCTGTCCGTCCGTCTGTATAAACGCTAAGATCTCAGGAACTATAAGAGATAGAAATTTCAGATTAAGCATGAAGATTCTTGAGGTCCTTACGCAGCGCAAGCAACCTGCTACTCCCACTCTAGCGCCCACAAATCATAAAAAACTAAAATCGCTTAAATCTCTGGAACTATTAGAGCTAGAATGTACGAATTAAATATGTATTCTCTTGAGATGTCTGCGTATCCAGCGATGCGGTGGTACCATTATCTCCCCTTTCTTTCGCCCATCAAGCTAAACAGATTTTCGCTTTTTGTAAAAAAGCTGATATCTCGGTAACTATAAGTGATAGAAAAGTGGGATTACACATGATTATGATGCCCCCCATGCGAAAATCTCGGCAACTATAAGAGCTAGAAAGTTAGGCTTAGGAATACGAATTTTAGAGATTCCACTGCGGCTTGACACGAGTTTTCATCCTGCCGCGCCCACTCTAACGCCCACAAACCGCGGAAAACTGTGGTGTGCATAATATTCGTTTGACCTAGTATACATTTTTTTGTCAATATCTATCGATTTACCAAAGATCTGAACATTATTTCACATGGACAGTGAGGTCACCATCAGCTACTCAACATGCATTTTCTCACAAAGGGTGGCGCTTTGTGAATTTTCACTAGCAAAATGAATATTTTAAAATTGTTTAAAAAAGTAACGGGTATCTTATAGTCGCGGCACTTGACTATAGCGGTTATTCTTGTTATTTATCCCTTTTTGTGATGACAGCCCTGCCTCAAAAATATTCAATTCGAGTCCTAACATAATAGATTTAATTAGATGCTAATCAATTTGTAACTAATGAACCGTACTTAAAGGCCTATTCCTTCTGCAATTTATTTCATAATTTAGAGAAGATTACGCTGGGGTATTCCTATCATCCGTTTCTGGATACATGTCATTAAGGCGGTCAGTGCAAGGAAAAAAACAGAAGCTGTTGAGCGCTCATTCGGTCTTTGTTTCTACAATTTTCTTTATTAGGCCAGCGGGGTCCCAAATCTAATTAACTTGCGACCTGGATCCAGAGGCCAGGCGACCAAATTAAAGCCAATCCTTAAAAGTTTCCAAACACAAAGTATCCTATATTCAGCGTGACAGAAAGGAAAGTTCTATGTTTCCCAAAATCAGCTTCCAGAAGGACCAGACTTCTTTTGACATTGACCAAGTTCGATTCGATTTCCTTGCTGTCAGTGTCACATCACCTCGATGACTTCTCCGGATGATCGGTGTGGTCGCTTACCGCGAAATTAGCATACTCGTTAGTCCATCAGACAGCCGAACCCACAAACCCAATGTGTAATTAGGCATCGCAATCAGTGCCACGGACAGACTGACTATCGGGCTATATGGAGTCCTTTAAATGGCAAGAAGATTAGGATAACCCGCTCCTGTCACAATTCCCCATACCTCAAATGTGGCCGCACAAATGTGGGTTTGAAATGCTTCTCATCTTTCATCAGCACACTTTCCGAAAAAGTTGCGAAAAAGTTTTGCGGTTAGCAAAAGTGAAAGAGCGCACGACACCAACGACGTGTGTACGTAATGTGCCCTCAGGGCCATATTTGTTTACCGCTTGAACTTGACTATCATATGATTATGAGTTTCGCGTTAGTTGATGTAAGTGACACATTCTCTCCTATTTGACAAAATACTGTGTGGTTGGGGCTCTGCCGAACCTGTTAGTCCTTGATCGGGCTTTAAAGCCGTTTCTGACAGATGTCAGCTGCTGACCACACGCGTCGCTTTATTGACAGATGGAAACTTATGGTGACTCCTGCCTCCCCTTGAACTATAATGATTAAGTGGGTTGTTTGGTTGTTGCTAATGGATTATATGCTGCAAAGAATGCATTCCCGCAACCGAAAAAATCGGATTTTTAAGTCGCCTAACAGAGGGCCTTTTTGTGACACGGGTGTCAGAGCGGTAGTGCAATCTATCGGATTTATTTATCAAGTTTCTCTTATTTCCAATTTTGGCATAAATGTCAGCAAAGGAAGTTCAGCCATAGCAACTTTTCCCGCCCGTGGCAATTGCCAGTTACCTAGGGTACTTGGCCTCGCAGTCTTAATGAAAAATTTTCGAACTTTTCCCATTTAATTGTTACAATTTAATAGCCTAAAAGAAAAGTTTTTAAAAACTGATAATAAATGTAATACAAATATAGTTTTATCAGGTGTTGACAGTCGTTTTCTTCGATTTTCACAATTTTCAATTTATAATTTATTATTATATTATAATTTATTAGCGAGAATGTCACGACCCCACCAAATTGATATTTATGTGTATACATTGCCATTTGGAGGCCTTTTGAGTCCACATTGTTGTGCGGATAAAAGGTTTCGCCCCCTGCCTTCATTCATTGCGTAATTTATTGATAAGAACATTAAATGCTGGTGACATTCCAATCTTCTTATTGAGTTTTGTTTTGCGATTCCGTTTCCGACCTAAGCTCTTAAAACTGAATGACAAGTTTCCTTTAATGCCGTTTCCACGGATGCGTTTTCTAAGGTGATTGGCGTTTCAGATTCTTTTTGTAATTTGCCATTTTCCTCATAGTCGAAGTTTCCCAAATAGATTGCCTCCAGCTATCAATGACTTTAAACCGTTTTTCGCTGTCCCTATATTTTTTGTTTGCTGCAGAAAGTGCGTCGGAATTAATTTGATATATAAAACTGATTAATGTCGGCACATGTTATTAATGACCATAAGCCAACAGGCGCCCAGGTCTCGAAATCTTTCTCGGATGGCGATGAAGATGAACTCGGGGGTCCGGCTTAATTAGGGTATGTTATCGGCGCTCGGAATTGTCTATTAACTGATGAATATGCAACAGCCCCTTATCCATTTCGCAAATGAATTCCATAAAGCGGTCATTAGCTCGGCTCACCTATTACACAGGAATCTCGGACTATTAATTAGTTAATATTCCTTGTAGTTCAACGCAGCTGTTGTTTTCCTGATCTCCACTCTCAAAGGATACTGTATCGGCTCAAATCTATGACAGCTGTCCAAGCCAAGGAATTCAATTACCGATCCACCCAGCCAAGGAAAGGGTGAACAAGACATGACATAAATAGGATATTAAATATGTGAAGAAGATAAGCGTAGAAAGCGGCGGACGAAACGATTCAATCTGACGAGCCAATTCGTGTCAATTTGTGACACATGCTCAATGATGGCAGAAGATCAGAGAAGTCGGTGACGGGAACATCGTCTTTTCTTCCGGCGACAGCACTCACCTGACTCATAAGAGAGCATTACTCATTTCCTTCGATATCCTCACTGCGTGATTTTAACCGCTCATTGGCTTGATAAATGATAGCTTGACTGGTCTGCAATAATCAACTGTTGTTGCTAAGGGTCTTCTGCTAATGCTATAAATAAATCCGAGTCTAAAGCGGCCCAGTGATTTATTGAAGACAGAAATTCACTTCAGAACTTAGAATGTTTTTTCTAATGTTGTCACATAGAAACCAACTAGTTGAAGAGCGATTTTTGATTGACTGAACGATGGAAATTAATCGAACAAGAAAAGTTCTGGAGCTCCATTTGTAACCTGCTGAGGTCAGGTAGAGCTGGGTGGAAATCAAAGTTTGCTTTACTGTCCCCGCAGTTTTTGGTTGGCCTCTTGTAGTCAAAGATTGACTGAAGTCATTTATCATAGAATCGTTCTCCGTGTCACCCACCTCGCAAAACTCCTGCGGCTGAGTGGACGTCGACCAAAGAATGCCATAAATAATCCCACAGAGCTGTTTAAGAAAGACGTTTGCGTCTTATATCTTTTATCCTTTTTCGTTTTCCACACATTGGCTCCACCTCTTTTGGGTCCTACATTGTGTGCTTCGCATTTCTCTTTCCAGCTAGAAAATAATGTGATTCGAGGGAAAGGCAAGCGAACAATCCAATAAAAGAACAAATGATTAATTTGCATTGCGTACCGATTCAAATTCAATGAGGGTGACCAAGGTCCCCCACTGTGTGCATTGCTTAATTTTCCATTAAGCGGTGCGACAAGTGTTTTCATTTCTCCTGTTAATTTCGTAGGGATTTAATTTATTTTGTGCTGACTAAAAGTTACCCTTGCCGCAATTCACAACCACGTGTGGCCCCGAATCGAATTTTCTTTTTGTGTAAACACTTTGGAGACAAGTGCGGGGTAACCTCAACTGGCCAGCTTGCCCAATAAGTGTGGTCCTCCTTCCTCCGGTTCTCATAATATAGCACAGCCACTCCTATAATAATATGCCTTTAAAAGACGTTTTGGCATCAAACCATGTAAATTTGTCCAACTTTCTCAAGAGCTAATTCCTGACTTTTACTCAATAGGTATTCGGTCAAATATCTCATCTGATAGGTATCTGGTGTCGTCCTTGTAAACCGGCCTTTTTTACTCATCTGCGCCTTACCTCCTCTTTTGGCTTCTCCTTTCCTTTGTATATTTCCTTTGCCGGTGAAATGGACTTTATCGAGAAAAACCAATGGTTCAGGAATTTCTATATACTTAACGTGAGCGCGTGTGGCACTTATAGGCTGCAGAAAGCCACAGAAACGACCAATAAAATGCCAAAACATAATGTGACACTGGACTCCCATGGGGTACACTTGTCTTATTTAAACAATATGTAATAAATTTTCAAGTGCGTCTGAAACGGAAGGTGTGGTTCCATACGAAGCCAAGCCAATTTTCCATCACTTTATAATGAGTAAAGAAAACTTCTTAAAGATAAATTTAAAAGTTCAAGTCCGCAGCTAAACAATGATCTTCAGCAGCATCATGACCATAAGAAGATCTGACATTAGGCAAAGCAATTTTCCATAAACAATCTATTGTAAACAACTCGGGGGGATGGACACGGATTTGTGGGCGAGAAGCAAATATTTACAAAACACTATATTCTGATCAGGCAGAGTCCTGACCAAATGGCTGGCGTCGACCACATGAAATCAATTAAAATATTTGGCCAACTGCTTGCAGCACATAAAACAGCGTTCGGGGGAGCATCGGCCATGATAATAAAAAGTAATTGAAAGTGCGCCGGAAGATGCGACTATAAAAACTGTGTATTCGCCGCGTGGCAACATGTAGAACCTACCAGGGGGAGATGGATAAATGAACTGCTGACTGCGGAAAATATCAGCGATATTTGAAAATTATCTAAATAACGAAAATATTTAGAAATTAAGTACTCTGTCCACAGCCCCTTATTTATTTCAAGAGCTATCACGCGTCAAAGGGAACCAAAACAAAGCTAAAGCCAAAAGCCCCAATCAGAACAGTGCCAGTGCGTCGTGGAGAGAGGACTCTAGGAGGAGGGGCACTTGGGCCAACTGTCCATCACATGGTCGATGGAATGCTCACTAGTCAACCGAAAGTGAAAATTAATTTAAATACTCAACGGCTTGGGTTTCCTCGACCGCTCTTTGTCATAGCTGATCTAGCCGAGTAGGGAAAGAGGCATTTCAAATATTTGCAGAATAATTAATTATGCCACATCAATTTTTGGTATTAAATCTCTGACAGAACCCCCAGAAACAAGTACCAGGTCAGCCAGCCTGCAGGCCACTGATAAAGGCACACAGCTTCATCATCGCAGGACGCAGGAAGCTGACGGCCGACTGACCGGATTACGATAAATTTTTAAATAACGGCGACAGCTGATGTTGTCTACACGCCTCGTTGATGACCCCAGCAGGCCAGAAACTTCGGTTTCCCAGTCTTCCGGTCCTAGACCGGGAAATGAGCAAGTGCTAAGTGTCTTGTACGCCGATTAGTCAGCAATAGGCAGAAATTAACGTAATCAATTATTGCCCACGCAGCTGTTCCCGCCACATACCCACTCCCAGACTAGACATATGCTCATAAATCTGTTTATTTTGGCCAGTCAGCGACCCTTAGTGATTTTCAGGGTGTCGCAGGCGGGCATGTATAGGAATTCGCTGTCCGTCCAGAAGTCCACCAGCGTTTGCTGCTGCGGCCGAGCGTCCAAGTGCTCAAAACACCTGGCGAAGAGCTGGCCTTTCATCACTTGTCGCATGTGCCCGGCGGCCACCTCAGACATGAACTTGTCTACCGACGAATCCCGGCCACTAGTGCCACGCGTCGGAACCGCTCGCATGCGCAAAGTATGCGTTTTAGAGGCATTTACGTCGATGAGCACGGTATTGGTGGCCAGCCGGTTGTAAACACTCCGGCTTGGAACGTTATCCACGAAAATGTCAAAGTGGTCCACGTTGTCCAGATCGTGGGTGAACCACTGCACCGACAGAGAGCCCCCGTCTAGCCGTGTAGCACCACAAATGCTCACCGGATAACTGACCCGCGCCGAAGGATGCTTGCGGGTCCCTTTCAGGTCGTCCTGAATCTGGTGTCGCACCTCCGACAACGCGCAGATGTCCATAAAAAAGTTCTTGGCCAGCAACTTAGCCTCCAGCCGTTTCTTGCCCTCGGGTGACTGAAAAAATTCGGCCCTCTTGACCGCACGACGCATGTCCTGACAGTGGTGGCACTTGCAGTCCTCTTGGTATGTTCGGCAGTTTGAAGAGGCATCCTCGACGTCTCCGCCGGTATTCTCTTCTGGATGGCTGTTATCAGCCTCCTCGGGGCTGACAATTGTGAAGGCGTACTCCACTTCAGGAGCACGCTCTCCCTTTTGCTGGTAAGCTCCTTTCAGGTTCTCCGACGCACTGGTACGGGACCTTGAACGGAAGGACCGACGTGAGCTTCTGGGGGAAGTACGCTTAGAGCTGTTTCTTGACTGGAATGACTTTGGCGATTGCTCGCCACTGGATATTTTCAAGTTGACAAGCTCTGCCCTTGAACTAGAGCTGGCTGAGTTCTTGGCCGTCAGGTTAAGTGATGGCCCTTGGCTTCTCCGCCTTGATCGTCGTGAACCACTCGATCGCTCGGAACTGGGACCAGTGGAAATAACCAAGGCCAATTTTGGCTCTATTGGATATGCGGTGTGATCGATTCTGGGTGTTACGTTAGGCGTCCTAGCCGTGGACGCGTTAAATTTCAAGCGAAGAGATCGACTGCTTGAACGATTTTTTGAGACCGATCGTGACCCCGATGGTTTGGCTATCTTGAATTTAAGTGTATTGGGCCTTCCCCATTTCGAGAGACCGCCATGCAGTACGTTACCCAATGGTAACTCCGACGAGCTGTCAAACTCATACCTCACGTTATTCGGAGCTGTATATGCGGAGGTATCGGTTCGGTCGCCAGCCTCCTCAGTGCTGGCCACATCGCTTCTGATGGTGTAGCCCGTCAGTGGAGTGATGTCGGAGAGGAGGCTCGTCAGGTCATAATTGGCGTTATTTATTGCGAAGTTCGAATGTGGAGCAGTAGGTGTCATTTTCGAGGTGCTGGGAACGGTAAGCTGAAGCGACCAGTCCGTCAAAAGCGTGTCGTTAGACTTGCTTAGATAGGGATTTTCCGTACCTGTACCTTGAGATGTTGAATCTTCGGTCACCAGCGAAGGCTTGGAATTTGAGATAGATCCGCTATTTTTGATAAAATTGTGAAAAAGGCGTTTTACAGATGTAAAGGACTCGCCTGCCCTTACGAGAGCAACTGTGGTTCTGAGGAACTGCTTGATCGAGTTTGTTGTCGTTCCGAAACTAGCGGATTCCTGGGAGTTTGAAGAACCACTTTGGGCCAAGGCACTGCTTTCAAGGGTTGTTACAGCTTGAATTTTCGAGTCCGTCTCAGGCGCATTGTTTTGGGAACTATCGCTAGTCACGCTGGTATTCCATTGACTTGAGGTTATCGAGATTTGGCTGCTGTGCGGACTGACAACTACAAAGATGGGCGGTGCGAGTTCCGTCCCAACGGTGGAGGCATTCCTGATGGAGCTTTTGACAGTGTGAGTGGGCTTTAAGTTTTTACTGCTGCCTAATGAATCCGCGGGCATCTCCTCGGGCAACACGATGCTCACCCTCTTAGGCATACTGATAATTTAATTGTGACACTGGATAACGATTTAATGAATCTTCTGGGACTGTTAGGCAAGTTTATGAATCGAAACATGAAATGTGTGTATAACTTTCCAAATTGCCATCTATCTCAGAGGTTACTTAACTAACTGCGGTTGACCCCTAGGTGTACTGCTACCGAAAATGAACGAATAAAAGGAGGGCCCGCGGGCGAGCAGGGATGTTCATCCATGACGGGGCAAAGCCTGGGCAGCGATTGCGCATAATTTTGTAAATATTTGTCGCTATGAAAGAGGAAAGCAAATTTGCATAGCTCGCGGTCCTTTTAGCTCACATTAAATATAACCAAGGCTGGCGTGCACGGTCCTCTAGATACCCCAGATATTTATACCCGATAAAATAAAGGGTATATTAGATTCGTTGAAGAGTATGTAAAAGGTAGAAGGAAGCGTTTCCGTATATATATTCTTGATCATTTTTCCCAAGCAAAATGAATATTTTAAAATTGTTTAGCGCAGTAAGGGGTATCTTATAGTCGCGGCACTGGACTATAGCGTTTCTTCTTGTTTTGACTCTAATTAGAGCTGCATAATGAGTTGCCGTTCGGTGAAGGGATGAATTCAGATGGGTCCTGACCTTAACTTTAAAGAACACCGCATAAAGCTTTAAGATTTCCCTTCTCGGTAGGCTTATTATTCGACTTGACTGCTCACAAGGCTCGGCGAATGATTAACCGACATGCCGCGTTGATGCTGCTACAAACGGAGCACGCAAGTGTATTAAATTATTGTTGCCATGTGATTTATCTAATACGTAGTAGAACGAAACGTGGTACACTGTCTGAATTGGTAAAATATAAATAAGCTAGGCTACTTTGATGAATCTGATTTTTAATACATAAACAAAAGATGTGCCACAGGAATGAGACCAAAATAAGACATGGAACTATCATTAAGTCTAGTAACTTTTGAAAACTGTTCACTCTTTTTTTAGGGTATCAAAAATGTTATTATTATTATGTTATGTTATTATGTGATTATGTTATTATTATTATTTTGATAGTCGGCATTATACTCTGTTGATATTTTTATTTTAAAGTAAACAGGCCATGACTCACAGCAAGTACTGGAAAAAAGCCAAAAAACTGAAAAAGTTTTCGCCACTTTTAGTTGTAAAATGAACCACTGTGCTGGGGAATGGGATACATCCTGCTTATAACATATAATAATCAGACTTTGTCTTCGCAGCGGGAGCGCAAGACATCCCTAAGTCGACACAGACAGCTCGTTCCCTGACATTAGAAGTCTGGACTACCAAATTCACTTCGTACAAAAATCGTAAATCATAAAAAATGTTTTTACCTCAGAACACCTTCTAATGGCTACCACAGATGCCTTTTACAGTCGAACCACAAAATTCAAGAGCCAAAAAGAGACACTTCTGAAATCAACGAAGGGGGAATAAAAACTGTTCAATTTAATTGATTGAGGTCAATCGACGACATTGAGTTGTCTTGACTTCGAGGCGTGTTTGGTCAGACAAGTTTAATAATTTCTCTTGATGGCGCCCGGCGATCGCCTTTTAAAGTAAATTGCATGTCCACAGGCTCGGACTAAGCGGAAACTTTAACTTTTCCTCTTTCGTTTGTAAAAAAATTTATTCAAAGTTGTTCTAAGCGAAAAAGTTTCCTGACTTAGACGAAAAAACCTTGATGTATTCTTTGTTGTTGCCAGCAGCTATTTGACATTTTATTATATAGTTTATTAGTGTCAATATTAACTGACTTACGGAGAAAACTTTTAAGAGGCAAGATGATTACGTACGGAAAAGGGATGACTTCCTCCAAACTGGCACCAAAAAATGTTTGTTCCTTAAAAATAATAAGTTCAATTCAACAACAAAAGGGGTAAGAAAAAAAACTCATGACGCTAACGATTACACGTGCTATAATCTGATTTATTTTCAGTCCTTTCATTAACCCATTTGTAAAGAACACATGTCTTTGAATTGCCTTAAGGTTATTTAGTTCCCCTTTCCTTGCGCCGAATCCAACATTTGAAGATATTCCCCAACAAATAGCTCATTGTCGCGTTAACGCATCGTTCTGTCAGAGCGGAAGCGCCTTTCTCAAGAAAACTCCTGGGAATGCACTTTCACATTGCCCGGCTGATTAGATTTTTCAGAACTGTAGGAGTCTTAAAAGCTGAAATTTGATGGAATTTTATTTGGCAAATGGTGAGACACGCACTCGTAGGGCGCAATCAAAATAAATCAATAACAAAAATAGCAATAAACAATAGCAGCCTTCCAAATGGCAGCAAATCCATGGGCAATCTAGTATCAAATTGAAATTGAACCAACATTGAACATCGGGACAACCAAAGAGCGAGCGGAAAAGTCAGACCATCGGCACCCTCGCAAGCTGAAGGCAGCCGAGATAAACCCGCCTTAGACTCCGGCTCTGTCCCGACGAAGAGTCACTCCTCTGTCAGTCTTAGTAGAACGCCGGGCGTCAGGCTCAGCTTCGCTTTCTATTCCGGGGATAAGCGCATTTGATTGCGAGTTGAAAGTAGTCCCGTCTTCACGAATGATTTTGTGTTAGTGGGATTGCGGGTCCGCAACGGCAACTGAGCGCCGGGTGAGCCTGAAAGATAATCGGAGCAGTACGGCAAGAAGGAGGGCCAGAAATAATTGGATATTCGAAAGACTCTGATTGCGCCAGAGCAGATACTTGGATATAGGTAATTTATGATTATGGGCGCTGTAAATTCGTGTTAAATGCAAACATTGACATTGCATGTTAGGGAGATTCTTTATTATGCAGATACCAGCCTCAGACACTGGATCATAAATTCTATTTGTGCACCCAGATGCACACGCTGCGTATGCGTGTTATTTGTGCGACTCGTAGGTAATGCATTCGCCTGTCTAGATAAGCCGCAGCTTTTGCTTTGTGGGCAGGCGAATGCACACCGATTAAAGTTGTTCAATCTGCCCGCTACACCAAATTAGCCCGAACTAACGAAACCCCCTCTCCCCTCTTTCTCACCCAACAGCTTCCGGCGCAGACTTGCAGAAGCCATGCTGCAAGAGCAGGCAGGCAACCTCCCCAGAGAGCTCAGTGGTTACGGCCAAACACAATGTGCAAAATAAAACACGGACCTGTGGCAACACCAGCAGTAACATTATCGGCATAAGCACAAAGTACCAGACCGGAACCTGCGGCATTTGGCTTTCGCCGGACCCACGGAAGCAGACCCACGGAAACAAAAGTGGCCAAAGAGAGACCATAAGAAGCCGCGCATATAAACAGAAGCCCAAGAGCAGCTCCTCTGAACATGTACGCCGCCTTTATGGACGTTGGCCAGACGTTCGCAGCTAGTCTGTCAGATGCCGGTGGCAACGACAGTGGACTCCTGGCAACGGGACATGGTCTGGAGCAGGAGGAGGGCAAGGGAATGGGAGCCAACGCCAGCGCCGACGGCGTAACGGTGCCCTATGTGCCAGTGCTGGACCGCCCTGAGACGTACATTGTCACCGTGCTGTACACGCTCATTTTCATTGTGGGAGTTTTGGGTAACGGCACGCTGGTAATCATCTTCTTTCGCCACCGCTCCATGCGCAACATACCGAACACGTAAGTAGATAAAACGCTCCCGTCGGGGTTCCGCACAGGGTGGGCTTCAAATAAGTGGATCGGAGGTCGGAGGAATAATATTTATTGACGGGCTTCCGCATTGATACGGTCTGCTTCTTCGAGGACCCCCAAAAATAATATTGCCTTTATATGGCCGCACACTTAGACCCAAAATGAGCTCGTCGCTCCGCGAAAAATGGCCTGAATTAGTACTCAAAATTCATGGGCTGTCTTATGGGCTGTATTTGATTTTATTGTTCCAAGACAAATAACATCCTTCCCTCGCCCGAAAAGAAAATTAAAAAAAACAAGAGGAAACGCTATAGTCGAGTGCCGCGACTATAAGATACCCGTTACTGTTTTACACAATTTTAAAATATTCATTTTGCTAATTGAAATTCTCACAAGCTCCACATATTGTCGGAGAAAGAATTTTGTGAGTCCTTATAACTTAAATTTCTTCATGAATAGCGAAAAATTGTTCCGATTTGAAAAATCTTTGGAAAATCGATAGATACAAGGTCAAACGAAAACATACACTATAATATTATGGACGCCACAGAGGGCAAGTTGCAGTGGCATCTTTTAAATACGTATTCTAAAGCACAACTTTCTAGCTCTTATAGTTCCCGAGATTTTTGCATTTTTTTCGAGTGGGCGTGGCTTGATCAGAAAAAAACAATTCGCATAAGGGGCATCATAAAAACCTACATGCTTAATCTTTCTATCACTTATAGTTACCGAGATATCAGCTTTTCTAGAAAATGCGAAAACCGCCTTTTGCGATTGGTTGGCGAATGGGTGGGTGTGACCGGATAATGGTACCACCTTAAGTTGCTCTGGCATCCCAGGAATATACATACTGAATTTCAACTTTCTGGCTCTCATAGTTCCTGAGATTTTAGCGATTTTAGTTCTTCTTCGTAGTTTGTGGGCGTTCGAGTGGGCGTGGCAGGATGCTGAAATGCGGACTTGGCTCAATCGACTTCGCTATTGATCCTGATCAAGAATACATATACTTATACTTCCATCTGTTACATACTTTTCACCGAATCTAGTATACCCTTTTACTCTACTAGTAATGGGTAAAATACCTCTTAACTCCTAGAAGCGAACAGCAGAAATGATGTCAAGCCATCTGGTGGATACGAGTCCCGAATATCAAGTGGCGCAGTCACCGAACAGTAATATAGTTTATCAAACTTGAATCAATGCCAAAATTTATTCACATTCGTTCACCCAAGGCCACTATTTGAACCAATTCAGCCATACTTTACCCTCTTGAATTCCAAGTTTACAGCCTTTGTCCTGCTACAAAAATATTTAAACACTTTGGAAGTATGCAGTCTTATACGCCATGTGTGCCATTCAAATCCGATTTAACATCCAAGCTGTTCCCAGTCGCAGTTCACTTTTTGCCAAGAAAACTACGAATCTACGAAGCCGACATCTGGAAGTGGAACTGTGGAGGGAAGCCGTCTGCTATGCAAATGTTTATTAACTTTTCAGCAGTGTACAGTGTAACTGGCGAAATTCAAATAATTTAAATGTAGATTCAATCAAAAGTTTCTGAGCCTCGATGCTAGCGTGACAGCATGAGTTAAGGAAGCCCCTACGGTCGGTTGCCATTAAAGTGAAACTCTGTCGGGGGACAACAAGACTTTTTGGACCGGCCAGGCTGCAGGTGTTCATAATTTCGTACTGATTTCCCGCAAATTGCCACTTTCAATGCTTTCGGTTGAACTGGCTGATTGCAGTGAGTAACTAGTTGTGGCAGTAATTGCGACCGCTAACGTAATGGTCGGTCATTGATGGCAAAGTTAGCAGTTTGCTCGACGGCTTTGTCGCGACTATTGGTCTAGACACGATGGCTGGGAACGTGTCAGGTTGGAATTTATGTCACATGCAATCAGCCAAATCCAGCTGCTGTAAGGATTCCCCCGTCCTAGGACTCAATTTCTTGTCCTGACTGGTTCAAGGGAGGTCGTTGGTGTCAATGTCAAGCCGATTTGCTCTTGATTGTCCCTTTGACTTCGGTCTGAACGGCATTCATTTAGATGGGTTGAGGTGAGTTTAATTGAGGGTGTGGGCGTTAGGATCTTCCCAAAGACTTTTCACTTACTCTTAAAAATAACAAAGGCATTCCAGGCAAACGAGATCTCGTTCCGAATGAGCGGACAGCAAATCAGACCGGATTGTGGACACATTCGTGTGCAGGGAGGTTACCCATTGCCATTACTGAATCCTTTTACTTCCAGATACATTTTGTCACTGGCCCTAGCTGATCTCCTGGTGATTCTGGTGTGCGTGCCCGTAGCCACTATTGTTTACACGCAGGAGAGCTGGCCCTTCGAGCGAAACATGTGTCGTATCAGCGAGTTCTTCAAGGACATTTCTATCGGAGTATCCGTGTTCACACTGACCGCCCTGTCCGGCGAGCGATACTGCGCTATAGTGAATCCCCTACGCAAGCTTCAGGTGAGTGTGTGAAGGAAAATATTACCGGACAACATAGCATTAATTCCTCATCCCGTACAGACCAAGCCGCTCACCGTCTTCACTGCTGTGATTATCTGGATCTTGGCCATCTTGCTGGGAATGCCATCGGTCCTTTTTTCTGATATTAAATCCTATCCGGTGCTCACAAACAAGGGCAACCTAACTATCGAAGTGTGTTCCCCGTTTCGCGACCCGGAGTATGCGAAGTAAGTTAACTAAAAAATTTGCCTGTCGTCGGGCGTATAATTCTCAATGGTCAATTAGGTTGAATCAATGCAAAGGAAAGCGCGGCTCCTTATCTTGTCATTTGCAGGCTCTTTAAGAGGACCACACATCCCAACATTTATCATTAATGCACCCATTCATACAAGATGCCTATCCGGCCATATGATGCAGCTGCTTACACCGGCTCCTCTAGAACAACTTCGCCCCGATGCCGTGGCTCCTTATTTACGTGCTTAAGCTCACAAGCCCCGCAAGTTGAACGTAATTCCTTTTCCCATCAATGTTGCTGCTGTGACGCAAGCTGGAAATCCTTTCGTGTGGCTGGCTTCAGCTGTTGCCACATAATCTGCTTGTGATATAATTTACACAGGTCCGGCAATGGAAGACAAGTGCCTCCTTTGAATAGCCGAACTCGCCCCTCAACTGGTCGCTAATTTTTCATTTACGGCATGCCGACATGCTTAATTTTTATATCACTTAGTGGCATGTGTTCCGACCCCAATAAGGTTGCAAAATGGAGAGGATATGGGATAGTCCTTCCTTTCGATTTAATTGGTCATCCCTTACAGAGCCGCAATTTGATGTCGCTCGTTCAGGAAATTTTTATAGTCCGCCATGTCGCTTGAATAGTCGAGTAAACCGGCAAAAATTGACCTTTAACCAATGATGGATTTTTCTTGTTTAAGTTAAAAAGTTGATTTGGTTTAATGATAGTCTGCCATGGTTCCGGGTGACTCTTCTTCAGGTTCATGGTGGCTGGCAAGGCGCTTGTCTATTACCTGCTGCCGCTGTCCATCATCGGAGCACTCTATATCATGATGGCCAAGCGGCTCCACATTAGTGCTCGCAACATGCCCGGCGAGCAGCAGAGCATGCAGAGTCGCACCCAGGCCAGGGCCCGTCGTCATGTGGCCCGCATGGTGGTGGCTTTCGTGGTGGGTAAGTCATTGCATTCTTCATTCCGCCATCCTGCTTCAGGCATCCCACATCCCGCACTCTGATCCCCGAAGACCGCCGGTCACTCTAATTGGCTTTGGACTGTCTTTGCAGTGTTCTTCATTTGTTTCTTCCCTTACCATGTGTTCGAGCTATGGTACCACTTTTATCCCACGGCGGAGGAGGATTTCGATGACTTCTGGAACGTGCTGCGCATCGTGGGATTCTGCACTAGGTGAGTGGAGCCGGGTCGAAGTTAATTCGTGCGCATTCAGCAGTTTTCGGTGGCAACACTCTGCCACTTACCCCCTCTTCAGAGGGACATCTTCTTGATCCCCTGCTTGCACTTGCCATCCAAGTATGCCTTGAGGGGCTCGGAATTTATGGCCAAGCCCGCAGTCAGTCACACCCATTGCTTGGGGAAGAAGGGAAATGGAGCTGGTAGTGCAGCAGAGAGCGAGCATTTGTTTGTTTTGGGGCGCCGCTTTAAAGTTTTATGCACTCATTTTCGCTGCATTGCCCGTGGCAGCGACTTTTGGCATAATTTTTAATTGAATCAGATTATGCATGCACATTCCCTTCCCCGTTGGCAAAACATTTCAGCTCAGGGAACCAATTTGGGCGTCACTTAACGTAGTAAAACTCGGAAAATAATGTGTCAGCAATTTGGTGGCTTAATTCGGTGCCGAACGGCGGGACTGAAATCAATTTGCATTCTGGGAAAGTGGGGGGGGGAGTAAACCCCACAAAGGATAGTAAAATAAAGCAGACATTTCTGAATCGCATTGCTACACTATTATTGAGCATCGAGATCCGATAAAGTTCGGATGGCACTTGCTTCTTGTTTACTAAGTATTAAAGAAAATTACTTTTTCATAGATTGACCGTAATCCCATCCAAAGGTAATGTTCGAAAAATGTATTCAGTAGTTGCTAACGCGTTTTGACTGCCTAAACTTTGGATCGGTAATTGACACTAACTAGCCCGTGCGTTTTCAATTTGCAGCTTCCTAAACTCGTGTGTCAACCCTGTGGCCCTCTACTGTGTGTCCGGGGTGTTCCGGCAGCATTTCAATCGCTACCTATGCTGCATCTGTGTCAAGCGGCAGCCCCACCTGCGGCAGCACTCCACCGCTACGGGGGTGATGGACAATACCAGCGTAATGTCAATGCGTCGCTCCACCTACGTGGGAGCTAACGGGTGTGGTGCCGCTGGCAATCTGCGGGCCTCCCTGCATAGGAACAGCAATCACGGAGTCGGTGGTGCTGGAGGGAGAGGGTCCGGTCGTGTGGGCAGTTTTCACCGCCAGGACTCGATGCCCTTGCAACATGGAAATGGCCACGGAACTGGGACGGGTGGGGCAGCCGCCTGCGGATCCGGCGTGCGGTCTGCAGCCGTGGGCGAAAAGAGGTGAGGCACGCTTATCGTGGAGCTGCTGGAGGAGGAGGAAGTGGTGGTATCCTTGCAAGCAGACGAGCAGCTCTGAGCGGAGACAATAGGCCCGTGATCTCACATTGTACTTGCACCACCCGCACTTTGAATCACGCACCCTGCACCCGACACTATTCCCCAGACCTGCTGGTCATTACCAGTTGAATTGCTCATTGCCGAGAGCTGGTCTTATTTGCAATCGCACTAGTCCTGCGTTCAATGGCTTAAGAGGATATGAAGTGACCTTGGCTATAGTAACTCGAAATAGTCCTCCACAAGGTTTGGATCTGTGTGGAAGGGGTGGCGACTTGGACATCAATAGCCAATATTAGCGCTACTGTAAATATGTATGTTACGAACAAACTTTTACGCATTAATACACATTTTATGTAACGTTATTGTATGTCGTACTTTAGTCGTATGTTATGTGTTAATTAAATAAGTCCCTAAGCACATTAAATGTAACTCGTTATTACCTGCCCTATTGTAATAAAATAGTTTTATATAAGCCGCAAACCGAAAAACCTAAAAGAAAACACATGCCTAGCTAATTATCGAATATAAAAATTACGTATATCCGCTTAGCGGATTTATCACTGTAAATAAATGAATTCCATAAATGTTAAAAGCTTATCGTACTATGCTGAGTACTGCGCAATTTTTCAGACGGAATGTTCCCTACGTGCATGTGCGTGAGATGCACACACATAATCGCTTTGATCGTGGTCTTACACAGCTACGTTTACTTTCTGATTAACTAATATTTTTTTATTGAATATCTTCAGTCTTATTAAAAATGACCGCATTCGATACTAAACACCGGCATCACGACCAAGGAGACATAAGAGCCCGGCCGGAAAGTTCGGACTTCGTGGATAACCTCCGGATAATGTTGTCTTATATGTGCTATTAATACTGTATAAGGAAACCCAAATCGAAATAAATCGAAGTTTTACGTAAATGGTGCTTTTTAATAAAAACCACATCCCAAATTGACATGTCCTTTCCAAAATGAAACGAAGTAGTCAGCTTAAGATCCGAAATTGAAAATTTCTCGCAATGTAAAAAACCGGTGCATGAATACCCCAATTTGTGAAAATGTATGCGCCCCCTAAGCCCTCAAATAGCGAATAACAACCTTAACTTATATCGTTATTCCAATTTATTTAGGAACATTGGCCGACCACCCTTTTCATGGTAAATTCACAAAATTGCTTTGAAGTTTGGACCAGTCGAGCAACTACCACTGCACCAGCTCCCTTCGCAGGTCAAATCCCACTCACTATTCAACACGACCAAAGCAATTTGCTTATTTAGACAAAGGCAACCGGCCGGACGGGGCCAGAAAAGACAATAAATACAATCTGGCCCCGAGCACACACAAAATTTCATTATGGTATGCCAATCAGGCGGTCACGGGCCGCAGGCCTCAGCCACCGGAGTTTCTGTATGTAAATTGGTCAAACACGGCATCTATTATCTGAGGACATACCGTCCCCATAATCGTAGAATGCCCGACAAATGTCGAGTCTACAGTTATTGGCATCCAAAAGATGCGGGGTGAGTATCACAAAGGAGGCTGTCCATCCGCGTTCCTGGCAGTCGATCGACATATGGCCCCTGTAAATCACAACTGGAAGGGCAGGGAGATATTTCCGGACCTCGACAAACAAGCCGACTTGGATCAAAGGTAAATGCGATACCACTGACTATCGCTACTAATGCGGCGCTGATTTGGCAGCAACTGGGCTCCGATTTGGAACTGTGATGCTGATGTCCATCGCACAATTAGCTAATTATACCCCACGCCGAATTTCGTGAGTCGTCTGTCGTTTGGGCTGAGCAGACTTAACAGGGTTAGGGTCGGTTAAGTTGAAGGTTTACTAAGAGTACCACTGAAAGATAGAATGTCTTGTGTTAGTGTTAGTGGGACGGTAAGTGGGACATTGTCATAAAGCACTAATATTTATACGGGTACGCCTTACGACCACTTTTGGATTTGGGGAATCTCTGAAGGAGCAGCTAGTATCCTTGAGAGAATCCACATGTTGAACCAACGCTCTTGCGTTAAGGGTCCCAATGTGGCAAATACAAATGAGGAGGATTCAAATGAGGATTTCGTTGAATATTATGCGAAATACGAGATTTGGTATCAAGATTACATATGCAAAATGTGTTCAATAAGACTCGATACTACCTCCACACAAATTGTTCTAAGTGATTTATCGAACGAGGGGTAGTGTAGCCTTGACAGCATAAAAACTAAAAATTAGTGGCATCTCCCTCCAGAATTGTACCTTTCGTGTCACTCATTTATCTGTCCTCATTATCCAGAACTAGCGCACCAACAGTTGTCTACGCAGTTGTCAACTTCGTCCTGATTTATCACATATCGATGGATTTACAAATATGTTGTCATTTCGCCAGTTATTCCATTCAGAATTGTGATGTTGATGGTGTTAACATTAACGTTATTGGCCGCCATGTGGCACGCGTACTGCGCTGTATTGATTTTTGTAATTACATATGTGCAATGTTTGGAAAATCTTTGGTCGAAATGGTCGTTACCATTTCCAATATCCAATATTGCTGAAATCTCAGGAACTATTGGAGTTAGAAAGTTGAAATTCAGAAAGTACGCCCACAAGGTTCAAAAGACGGTTTTCGGATTTTCTAGAAAAGCTGATATCTCGGTAACTATAAGAGATAGAAAGATCAGATTAGGCACTTAGGTTTCTATGATGCCCCAAATGCGAATTGTTTTTTTCGCCCACAAAACCCGAAAAACCAAAAAATGTGAAAATCTCGGGAACTATAAAAGCTCAAAAATAAGGCTTAGGAATTCGCATTTTAAAGATGACACTGTAGCTCGGCGCGAGTTGTCACACCTACTCTAACGACCACAAGCGGCGGAAAACTGTAGCGTCTATAATATCATTATGAATGCCTTCGTTTGACTTTTTATAACTTATTTCTGTTAATATCTATCGATTTGCCAAAGATTTTTCAAATCGGAACATTATTTCGCTATTTATGAACAAATTTAGGTTATAAGGCCTCACATGGGCAGTGACGTCACTATCAGTTTCTCAACATGCTTTCTCTGACAATAGGTGGCGACTTGTGAATTTCCACTAGCAAAATGAATATTTTACAATTGTGAAAAACAGTAACGGATATCTTGCAGTCGAGGCACTCGAATAACGGGTATAAAAAAAAGAAGCCGAAGGAGGTGTCTCAGACAGAAGAATAGGTCAACCTCTCATCCCGTCTGGTTATGGTTTGCTGCAGACTCGTGTTTTGATTGCGAATAAATTCTTATTTACATTCCGGCTTCTTTATGTCTAGAAGCTATAGGCCGGCAAGTAGATTCCGGATTTGGAAATTCTTAGAATGTAATGAATTGCCCTAAATATCTACAGGGTATGCAATTTAAAGTTGACCCACTTGCTTCTTAAAACAAAAACAAAAAAAGTGGACAATTTTTTTTTATTCCAAAAATCATTTGTTTTGGTCCAAGGAGATTTTTTACTTTGAATTATTACTAAAATGATATCACGTAAATGGGCACCTTTAGCTCTGACAGCCGAATGCATTCTTTTTTCAACATTTTCCATGACTTTGGTCAATGTTTCAGAGGATATGGCGGCTATTTCACGTCTAATGTTGTCTTTTAGTTGACTTAAGGTTTTTGGTTTATTAGCGTATACCTTGGATTTCAAATAACCCCACAAATAAAAGTCTGGTGCCGTCAAATCTGGTGATGTTGGGGGCCAGTCAAAATCACCACTATTCGATATCAGCCGCCCAGGGAACAATGTTCGCAATAAATCGATTGTTGCTCTAGCTGTATGGCAAGTTGTCCCGTCCTGTTGAAACCAGAAGTTATCCATGACATTTTCACGAATAATAGGCATCAGAAATTCGGTTATCATTGCTCGATAACGCTCACCATTGACGGTTATCGTGGCTCCATCATTGTCTTCGAAAAAATACGGTCCGATAATCATATTCGCGCAAACACCGCACCAAACTGTAACTTTTTGGTAGTAAAGTGGCTGTTCCTCAATTAATTGAGGATTTTCGGTGGCATAAAATCGACAATTTTGCTTATTTACGCCTCCATTCATCAAGAAATGTGCCTCGTCTGACATGATGATTTTTCGCCAAAAGTCAAATTCGTTTTCAGACATTTCGATGGCCCATTTTGCAAAATTGAGGCGTCTTGGATAAACAGCTTGGTTAATCTTATGTGCCATTTGAATTTTGTAAGGAAACATCTTCAAATCGCTATGAATTATGCGTCGGAGAGTAGTGCGAGCGATGCCTAATTTCTGAGATCGTCGATAAGTCGATGTCGTAGGAGTCTCATCAATACTGGCTCGTACAGCTTTGATATTATTTGTTCGTTGCCAGGATACATGACTGGCATTACTTAGATTACCGGTGTTTACAAATTTTGGGTACAAAGACTTAATTGTGTTTTTAACTGGAGCACTTTTAACTTTATTCATTTTACGAAACGCACGTTGGGTTAACACAATTGAGAATTTATTGAATATTTTCGACGCTCTCCGAACTATTCATATTGGCAATTATGTAATGAATTTCAGATGAAGCAGACGTCGTTTTTTGGCAATCTACACCTTTAGATTTAATGAATTTAGCTCGCATAATAACCATAACCATTAAATTCGAATAGAATTCGATTGGCAAGCGGAAAACACAAATTAAAAAGGAAAATAAATGTGTTATGTATGGCTAAAAGCATAAGGAAAAACAAGGTTGTTGACGGGAGAACCAACGATTATCCTTTATATTCTTAGCCATTCGTGGGTGGCAGACGTCGCTTTACAATGCTAAAGCTCTCGTATATCTTTAATAAATGTTGTACTTTTGATGGTCAGCCAGCGGCCAAATAAGACCTCTCAGCAGGCATAATTTTATTTCAGCTTCGTCATTAAACTCAAATCAGCACCTTCCTCACGCAAGTATTGTGCTCTCCCATTGAGGCCCTGAAACAAAGGTGGGTCTG